CTTACATTACTATATATGTAACCTGTACAAGGCAAGTACTTCCTTCACAACAAAGTTCATTTATTAAATACTACATTTGTGATTTATCTGGTTGGAGCTGGTGGTCCCCATCACTTGTTGCTGGGCTCGTCGATGAGTCGCACCTTGTCGATTCCCACGAACTCGACGTCGCTGAAGCCGTCAGGGTGGAGCCCCACGGGCAGGTCGGCGTCGACCCAGATCGGCTTCCGCATGTACCACTCGTCCATGAGGCGACGCATTGGTATGCGGCCCTTGTTGAGCTCGACCTCGGTCGACCGCAGCACGTTGGCGTGGTTGGAGGGGGTCACCAGCTCGACGCGCACCCGGTCGGCCCTGCCCGAGGGCGAGCGGATCGCCATCTTGGGGGCCTCGACCACTTTCTTGGTCACCGCCCCTCCGGGGGCCGCCCCGCCGCTGGGTGTCCTCCTTCTCATTAGCCGCTCCTCTTCCTTCGACAGATCCATCTCTTTCCCAGCTGAGCAGCTCAAGTGTCTCTTCTTGCTACAACTTTTGTGTTTTATATTTTTTTCGCATTCCGCGCATTCCTGATTTAAACAATTTATTTTACGGAATTATGGGATTGGCGCAGGACTGACGATCGCAAACCTCAACTTTACACGAAAGAGGATGAGAGCAAGCGCACAAGAGGTGGTTCGAGCACAGGCCATTGTGCGGGGCTACCTCACCCGACGCAAATACGCCCCCTTACGTATTTTTTGGCCCACTCCCCTTCGTTCTTTTCACCCAAGGTTTATTCGAAACCAATCAACAAATAAATAAACAAATAAAAATAAAGATGAACAAATAACATGCTAAGGCTCTTACCTGTTTTATCGCCGTGTTCGCTGCGCAGTGAAGAGAGCGCGGAAGCGGACCCAAATTGTGGGCGAAATACTCGACACGGAGCGCACCTACGTGCAGGGCCTACACGTCATCGTGGGGGTACGTACCCACCCACCAGCACCCTCCACCCTCCACTCTCGATTCTCTTTCTACCGATCATTGCTGATCGCGATCCCCGGCGCAGGTGTTCCTCAATCCGCTCCGCAGTGCTCTATCGGGACCATGCCCTGTCATCGACACGCAATCCCTCACCCAGGTTCACCACCGCACACGCACACAACACACGCACGACCGCACACGCATGTGCATACGGACTGCTGACGTTGTGCGTGTCGCGTGTGTGTGTCGTGTGTTGGTGTGTGTGTCGACAGATATTCTCGATTGTGGAAGCGCTCCTGGCTGTGAATCAGGAGCTGCTGAAGAATCTGGAGCAGCGGTACAAGCACTGGTCGCAGCGCCAGACCATCGGCGACGTGTTCCTCCAGATGGTGCGTGCTGGCCTCTCACTTCTCACGCGCCCAGTGGGCATGTCATCGCAGGAGCTCTCATGCGCGGTGTGTGCGGTGTGTGCGGTGAAAAAAGAGTCCACACTTGAAGGGCTACAGCGAGTACTGCCGCAACTATGACTATGCCGTGAGCTACCTCGATCGCTTGCAAGCCTCCACGCCCGCTCTCGCCCATTTCGTCCAGGCACTCACTCCCCCACCTCCTCTTGCACCGAGTGTCGGCTGCTGATGGTGCGTGTGCGGCTGTGCGTGTCATGCGTTTGTGGTGCGTGCGTGTGCCGTGTGTATTGCAGATATGCAGCGGTTTCCCTGAGGCCAAGGGCTTGAGCCTGTCGTCGTATCTCATCATGCCCGTGCAGAGGATCCCACGCTACACGCTCCTCATTCAGGTACGCCCCGCTCCCGCACCACCCATGTGGTGTGCCTCACCCTCGGGACACCACCACCACAGGATCTGCTCAAGCACACGGACGAGTCCCATCCCGACCACCAGAACCTGAGCCAGGCCCACGTCCGCATCCAACAGGTACCCATGTCTATGCATAGACATATATGTTTATTATATTAATATATATATATATATAGATATATTTGCATATAAATAACAATTACATTATTTAATACGTCGTTGTGGCTACACGTGCGTATTGCCTCTATAGGTCGCGGACTACGTCAACAACAGCATGCAGATGGCGTTGACCAATTCGGTCATCCTACGCATACAGCGGCACCTGGGCGCAGACATCACCGTACGTTGCTCGGTCTTTCTATCCACAGAAACATGTATATCCATATATACGTACATATGTTGGCCTGATTGGTTTGATTTATGCTAAATCGCCTGTGTGCTGTGATCAAACTGACTTACGGTCACATTGGCTCGCCGGTGCGTCGACAGCAATTATTGGACTCGACCTGCGTGTTCAAGAAGGAGGGCAAGTTTCGCCGCATCAAGCAGGGGGGCAAGGCGACCGACCGCCTGCAGATGTTTCTCTTCAACGACCTCCTGCTCGTCGCCGAGAAGAGCTTCGGCCACATTCGCTCGTACAAGTGGAAGGTCAACATTCCGATGAAGGGCCTGTGGCTGCAGGACATTCCAGACAACTCCCTACCAGGTGCGCCCACATTCCACATTTCTCAAATGTTGCTTGGCCCACGTGGTGCAACATGCTTATATTAACATATATCTCCTGCGTATATATATGAACACATGTGTACATGTTGATATAAAGATCTGCCCAAGACGTATAAGAATCTGTTCTATCTGGTGGGTCCGAAGAAGGCCTGGATCGTCTTCCCCAAGAAGGGCACCCTCCAGGTACCCAGCGTTGCTCTCTGTGTCGTCGCGCGCTCATCAATTCCTGACCGCCTGCTGCACAGGAAAAGAACAACTGGATGCGCGACCTGCAACAGTGCATTGACGACCACATCGCCAAGCACCCCGAAGACAAAGGTATCACCATCATCACCATCATCATCGCCATCCATGGTCAATTCGTGTTGAGCCAACACCATCAATTCGTTGACACTAGGCATCCGAAATGAGTTCAAGCTGCCGTTCATATCGACCAGCTCGTCGACGATCATCATCAGGCGCAAGGGCCGGACCGCCACCGACGATCCGCCCCAGCTCCAGCCCAGTCATTCGTCGTCGTCGTTCCTGGGCGCACGCTCGCCGCAGCCGCAGCCGCCGCAGCTCCTCGGCGCGACCACGTCATCACACGCGTCCCGCTCCTTCTCCGACCTGTCGACCATTCAGCTCAGCACCTCGCCGCCGCCGGCCAAGGGCTCGACCCTGCGCCGCCCCCGGCCCGCGCCGGTGCTCCTCGCCGGCCCGCAGGCGATCTTTTCGGCCGAAAATTCGCCGTCGCTGGCGCCGTCGTCGCCGCCGCCCATGCCCAAGCGCGAGGTCCCGGCCGCGCCCACGGCGGTGATGACGTCATCGCCCTCCTTACTGTCACTGGCCATGCGGACTACCCCCTCGCCGCCGCTGAGCCCGTCGGGCAGCGGAGTCGTCGGACGACCGGCGCCGCCGAGGCCGACGCAGCCGCCGTCGTCGCCCGTCCACGCGCCAGTGGCGGGTGTCGCCATCGTCAGCAGCAGCAGCGGCAACACGCGACAGTCGCCGACGGTGCCGCGCAGAGTCCACGGCGTCGGCCAACAGCCAACGTTGGCCCCGATTCCGCCGATCCCGGAGAGAAACGTGGCTCAACCTCACGTTGAAGCGCCACCCAGTCCCAGCGGTGCGTTCTGGTCGTGTGTCGTGTGTGTCGTGTGTGTCGTGTGTGTCGTGTGTGTCGTGTCGTGTGTGATGACTGAATGTGCGTTCGCGCGCAGCCGCGCAATCGCAAGAGACCACGAGCAGCAACTGGGATGCGACGTTGAAGGAGGACCGCCCCCTGTGCTCCAACAGGCACTTTTGTACCATCAAAGATCCCCAGCACTGGGTCGAGTACAAGCACTCCACATCTACGGCCGGAGTGATGGCCAAGCTGCGCAACCCTCGGGCTCAAGGTGCCACCCAGTTCCAGTTCTTTGCTCCTCCTTGCTTGCTTGATTGATTGCAATGGTTGCAATGATTGCATGTTGGTTGTTGGTCGTTCACACTTCGTACACGTGTCATCAGGCAAGCACTACGGGTCCAACACGCTCGACGTGCGATCACGCGTGCGTCCCACGCAACAGGACCATTCGTGAGCACATCGGCTCAGCGTTTCTTTTCGTAGTGTGTGTTGTGTTGTGTTCTATTGCGTTACCATCTTCTCCAAAGATTTGTATATTTGGCTTTTGATGTCTGGAGTCGGAAGCTTAGGACTTCTGGGAGGGGACCTGGCAGACGGCGCCCTCCTTCTTCTGCCACTCCTCGGCGGTCACGGGCGGGCGCACCTCGTGCGTGACCACCTTGTCCTCCTTGACGGTCTCGTGGATGTGCTTGGTCTGCTCGATCACGTGGGGCACCACCACCTCGCGCTCCACCACGGGCGTGACCTGCTCGATCACCTTCTTGTGCACCGTCTCCTCGACGATGGGCTTGAACTCCTGGCGCTGCTTCTCTACGCCCAGGAACTCGGTCTTGGACTTGATGTCGGGCGCGGCGCCCATGGCGCGGCCCTGCTCGAGCTTGACTCCCGAGGCCTCGGCCTGGCGAGTGCCCAGCTCCTCCTTCTTGGCGGTCTTGGTCACCAGCGTCGGGCGCACCTCCTTCTCGACGACGGGCTGCACCACCTGGCGCACCTCTGTCTGCTCGCGGTCGACGTGCACCACTGGCTGCACCTTCTCTGCAATCATCATCGACAACATCACAACGTGAGTCTTTCTAAAACAAACGCAACAACAAAGTAGAAGCAGGTGGTACCGATCTCTACTTCGCGAATCTTTTCGATTTCCTTCTGGGGCTGACACTCGACTTCCTTGGTGTAGGTGACGCCGCCCTGCTGCTGCTGCTTGATGCCCGTACCCAGGTGCGCCTTCTCGGCCGTGGTCTCCACCTTCGTGGTTGTCTTCTCCTCCTCCTTCTTGGCCGTCTCAGCCGACGCGGGCGTGAAGATCTGCTTCAGAAGGTCCATTGCTGACTGTTGTTGGGTAGTTGGTTGGGTTGTCTTGTACTGGGTGTTATAACTGATAATAATGGTGAGTTCGGGTCCAGCTTTATGCGATCATCGGGTCGGGGGGGGGGCTGGCCCGATAGCGCACTTGTTGCCGACCAGGTTTCCGCCGCTTCTGGCGTTTGGCCGCCGAGTTTTCTCTGGGAAACCTGGAAGCCTTCCAAACTGGGCCTGGCCCTGAAACCGAGATGGCAACCGAGCTTGGGAAGGGGCAACACACCAGTTAGGCCTTGAGCCAAGTCCCGAGCGACCTTCGCCCTCCACGCCCCACGCCTCTGCTGGGACCTTTTGTTTTTACTTTTTTTGAATTGTCCAAATCAAGTAAAATTGGCCATTTTATTTAAAAAACCAAATTAAAGCCAGACGGTGCGAAGCTGCCAGACGTCGATGGAGGTGACGAAAACGTCGTGGGGGCCGTCGACGAAGAGCTCGGCGAAGCGGCTGTCGGGGAGCGTAGGGTAGACGCGGCTCGTGAGTCGCTCCTTGCCCTGGTTGACGAACACCTCGACGATGGAGTGGTCCACGAAGATGTGCAGCGTGAGGTTGCGCATGGCCCAGCCGTCGGGGCCGGTGGGCGGCAGCAGCGGGCCGAACTCGGGGAAGCTGTCGGCCTTCGGGTAGAGCGACGACAGGGTGCGGTTGGCGCGCAGGAGGCCCTTGGCCCCGGAGACGGTCTGCGGGTTGGGCTTGCTCGCCGGAATCGACGCCTTGAGCCAGCAATTGTCCCGCCCAGGCGTGCCTGCACCCAGAGTGAGCTGTGTGTGCGGTGTGTGCGTGTCGTGTGTGCGGTGCGAGTACCGGTGATGAGAGTCCAGGCGTGACAGAGCGGATCTTGGTTGCAGGCGGCCTCGCACGAGGCGTAGTCGTTGATCTGGACCTGCAGCGACCGGTAGTCGCCGCCGGGCAAGTCGAGGCCCTTGGTCATCGGCAGCACGCCCTGTAGGGCAATCTCCGTCTGCTCGCGCTTGTCGGGCGATTGCAGCAGGCGCACGCCAAAGGTCGAGCCCGCCGGGAATTGCGCTGCATGGCAACAAGCCAGTGCGTAGGAAAACGTGGAATGTCAGCTATGCTCTCAGTTTTTTCAGGTTTTAGTGTAATGAATCGTTTCGGTGGAACGTACGTCCGAAGAACACGTAGGCGTAGCTGAAGTGGATGAGAATCTCGGCCTGTACGATTTCGATCGAACCGAGCGAGAACGAGGTGCCGGCCTTGATTTTCAGACCATCGACGTGCAAGTGGTCGTCCGGGAGCCTGCAGCGCACGGAATGCCCAAGGAATGCGACTTGAGCTGCGCAGGGCATGGGTGTGCGGTTGGTTGGTTGGTTGGGTTGTGATCGTACCTCAGGGCGGCGAGTTCGGGGATGGGTGCGATCAGAAGCGTGCCGTCGGTGTCGAGCGACAGGGTGCGAGGGAGGCTCTGGACCCCGGCCCACCCGCGCTGCGCGAACCGGTCATCCGCTTCACTGCGCAGAAGCAGACAAGGTGAGATCGATTTGATCAGCCCAGCTGCACGTCTGGCCGCGTGCGGTGCGTGTGCGTGGTGTGTGCGTGTGTGTTGTGGTGTGTGCGGGTGTTGCGTGCGGTGGAGAGGTACTTGATCCAAGCCCAGAGGACCTGCCGGGGCACGGAAAGGATGGGATTATTATCGAGGAACGACTTGGAGGCGTAGAACTTGCTGCCGTAGTCGTAGATGCCGTGCACGTCGGCGCTGAACGTCTGATTCTTCTGGTCGTACGCGCCCGTGTAGTAGTGGTCGCCGTGTCCGAGCGCCTGCGAGCTCGCCTTGAGCACCCACTTGGTTTCTGCAGCGGAAAACACACATAAGGTACCGCACACACACAGCACACACCGCACACACCGCACACACCGCACACACCGCACACGCACACACGCACACGCTACGAAATGTACCGTTGATGCCGCTGCTAAGAGGATAGAAGTCGGGGCACTCCCACATGCTTCCGTCGATGTTGATGTCCTGGGCGCGCGCCATCGGGTGCCCCGCGTACTCGGCATCGTCGACGAACCTGCCCGACCTGGAGCGATAGAGCAGCGCCGCGCCTCCCTTCTCTGTGGGTGCGCGCACGTCGAGTGAGCGAATTCTTCTTCGCTGCTTCTTCTATGCCAAGTGTGCAAGCTGGTACCGTTGCCGCTGCCGATCAGTAGGTACCAATACCCGTCGGTGCTCTTCCTGCGCGAACTGTGTCAGCCTGCCGCGCGCGCGCGCGCGTGCGTGCGTGCGTGCGGTGTGGCGGAAGGTTACCAGGCCGTGGTGGGGTCGCGGAAGTTGTCCTGCGGGAAGGTCGCGGGAGGCGAGTGGAGGAACGGATTGGACGTGGACTTGTTCCAGTGGGTGAGCAATGGGTCCGACATATCTGCCGGATAGGCCACGCACTGCACCTGCGGACTCACCCCTGGCCCGGCCGGCGTGAGCCACAAACAGAAGTGCGTCTGCGATGCGCGTGTGCGGTGCGCGTGTGTGCGATGTGCGTGCGGCGCGCAAGTGTGCGTGTGCGGTGTGTTACCGGTGTAGAAGATGGTGGGAGTGCGGGTGATTGGATCGATCGAGACGCTGCCGGACCAGATGCCGCCAGAGTCGTAGGGTTCGGGTCCCGGAGAGAGCGCCACGGGCAGGTGCGCCCAGAAGACCAGTTCATTCGACACCGCATGGCCCCTTGCATACCAAGGTCTGATTCAACCAACAGAACATGTGTGTCGTGTGCGTCGTGCGTGTGGTACCAGTGCATGTTGGTCCAGGCGATGCTGTCGGGGTTGTGCTGGTAGAAGAGGTGGTGGAGGCCGTTGAAGAACACCGGACCGTTGGGGTCGTTCATCCAGTACCGCTCCGGCATCACATGGAACTGCGGACGCAGCTGGTCGTCCCCGAGCCCTGCGCGTTGGAAACCAACAACATATTTAAAAAAAGTAAAATAATAATAAACAAATCAGTATTGTATTTTTATGATTATCGGCAGGAAAGCGTTGGCATTCGGGGGGGGGGTACCAGTGGCAGCAAGAAATGCAGGGGCGGCGGCAAGCAAGAAGAGGGTAACGACAAGATGAAGGGCCATGCCAGGACTGCGTCGCGCCTTCGACGAAGTGAGGGTAGCCATCATCTTGAGGTGCGTGGTGCTTGTCCGCGACTGTAGTTGTTGCGCAGCGCCTACCAGGTGAACCTGGCTGGAGCTCTTCCTTTTTTTTAAGGAGCATGCCTTTCGAAGGGGTTTAACTGAGGGCGGCAGTTCATCTCTTCATCTTTTTCTTTTTCTTGTCTCGCAACCGACACGTCTCCCGCCCTGCCCTCCCTTGTGTCGGAGCTTTCAATCTCTGACCGTCTTGTGGAGATGGGTATGGCTCTGAGATTTATTGGGCAGATGTTTTACAATTTGTTGACGTGTTTCCACCAACGGCCCGTGCCCACTGGGGTACATGTTGTGGAAGGGTGTGCAGGGAGGCCGAGTGTTGTGTGTGCGTGTGCGTCTCAGCTGGTTGAGTGGGGTTTTGGGGGGGGGGTCGTGTCCTACACGCACCGCGTTCAGTCGATCACGATGGTGTCCGCCTGGCTGCCGCCCGAGGGTCCCGTGCCGTTGCCGTTGGCGCTGCTACCGAGGCTTCGCGGAGGCGGCGCCGGGTGGTCGTCGATGAGGAAGACCGGCGCCGACGAAGACTCAATCCGCGCGTCTCTGATGTCATCGGTGTTGGTGTTGATGATGTTGGTGGTGCCGTTGCTGCTCTCTCGGAATTCGTCTTCGGAGTAGTCGTCGTCATCGTCCAGCGAACCAGCGCGATCGCCGTCGCGCTCGTCGTCGTCCTCGTCGTCGCTGTTCCTCTCGAGACGCACGGGGCGGAGGATGAGCTCCTGGCCAAGACCGGCAGCCGGCGAAGCCTCGCCTTCTGCGGAGTCGCGTTGCTTGTTGGTGGCCTCGGCGTCTAGATCGATCTCCTGCACTCCCACCTCCTTTCGCTTCGAGCCGGCCAGCCCTGTGATAGTAAAATTAGTGAGAAGGAGAGGAAAGGGAATCTAGAGGAGAGGTGTCGCTAACGCACTCTGCTTCTTCTCTGACTTGTCGGGTTTGGTGAATGTGCCGTCGGGGTGGATCTCGGCCTTCATCGTCTCCGAATCCATCGAGTTGAGAATCGAATTGAAATACTCGTCGATGAGCAACTCCTGCGCAGTCATAAAAAGGTGGAACCCGGGTGAGCCTTATACATCGGTTGCCCCCAACGCCCTTCGGCTGAGGGAATAAGCAAAGACGGTGGTCGCACGTGGAAGGGTATGGAGCCGTTGCACACCGGACAGTGCCATAGCCGCTGCTGGTGGCAGAATTGAAGGAAAAACTGCAAAGAAACGAGACGAAGAGTGAGCGCAACATTTTGAAGAAGCGACAAACGAAAAGGGCTCGGTAGACCGTACTCGCACATCAAAGCACTGCAGGTGATTGCAGCGAAGGCCCCTGGCCGGGTACTCGATGCGGCAATAGCCAAGCGGGCACCGCAGAGACACGAGCACTTTGGTTTCCTCAACATCGCCTATCGACGCCGGCTTCTTGTACTCGGGTGATGACCTCGCGATCGAGGGTATAATCTGAAGTGAACGAAAAAAGTGAGAAGCTGGTCAGCACAGTGCAGTGAAGACAAGAGGCCAGTCAAGGTACCTCCTCGGCGGTGATTTCTTGGATGAGCTGCACCACGGCCACGCCCGAGATGTTCTTCTGGTTGGAGAACTCCAGCATGTTGCTCTGCCCGACCAGGCCAGTGACTTCCGCCGGGCAGGGCGTGATAAAGGGATTCTGTATATGCTTGGATCGAATCTTCTTGTAGTTCTGGTGTAGGTCAAGAAGAGCGGAAGGAAACGAATGAAAGTAAGCAACACTGGCAAACTTGAGACGCAATTGAGTGGCACAAAGCTTGTACCTTGGTAAGATCGACCGGCTTGCCGTTGATGCGCAGGTTGGAGTCGTAGCCGAGTGCGATGTCGCTCTGCTTGAGAGTGGAGAAGAATCGGATGTGTACGCCTAGCTTACGCTCGTTGCCGTTTTGTAGTTCTTGCAGAGTGGGGAGGTCCAGGTTGAACACTGCATTACCAGACACGCCACCGCAGTCGACGTTAGATTCTACGAAGCATGCACGGACGGCGCGTAGAGGAGGTAGGAAGGAAGAGGAGTAGTACCATGTCGGACTTGTTGGGATCGATCGGTGGCGGTGCGTCCCTTGGGGCCAAAGGAGAGGACAGAGACCTGCTTGAGAACGCGGTAGAAGGGATTCTGTTGCTGCTGGAAGGTGACTTCGTTGTACAGCTGCGGCGGCGATCTGGTGGGCGCGTGCGGCACAGCCGGATAGGAGTGCGGTGGGTGCATATACAGATTGACGTTAACGGTCCTATTAGAAATATGGCCAAATTGGTAAAGTCGAACGATGCAACGAAGGAGAGGACAAGATTGAGGCGAGGCTGCGGCGAGATTGAGAGTAATAAGGAAGATCAGCTGAGCGTACGAGTTGGGCGGCATGATGACCAGCTTGGCATTGTAGTTGACGGAAGGCTGAGGAATCGGGGCAGTGCGAGGTCGCTTTGCTGGAGGAGCGCTTTCATAGCTGCTCGAAGATTGCATGGCACCGTAACCGCTATAAGGCCGTTGAGGGTAAGTGAGTGAATCGCCGATGATGCCAATTAAAAGAAAAGGGCATGTCACGCGCTAGTCACAAGCGTCAAGAAATGCGAAATTTGAGGCAGATCAACGATTCTTAAGAATGAATGTGTGCTGGCCACCAACGCCTCGTTCGAGCAGAGGGAGGAGTACCTGAGGGTGGTTTGAGTGGGGCCAGCGCCGTCGTCAGAGCCAGCGCCGCCACTCGGAAAGAGCTCTTCGGCAATGCGCTGGGCGAGATCGCACTTGTTTCCCGAGATTTTAATGTTCTTCTTGAGCTTTCCCTTGAGGTAGGAGATAAGCAGCTTGAGATCGGCAACCTTGAAGTAGGCCAAGTTGCTCTCGCTCTTGAGGCAAGTCACCAATCGCTCGTGCTGCGACCCGAGCTGCGCCGCCAGATAATCGAGATCTTTATCGCCCAAGATTGCGCGCACTGATGCGGGAAGCTGCGCGGCGTAAGACGTGGAAGCTGCTGTCGATGATGCGCCTTGGCTGCTTGTTGCTGACATTAAATGATTGGCCGAATACGAAGATGATGGAGAAGGCAAAGCGAAGGAGAGAAGGGAAGATGCCGGTGGGAGATAGTGATGAGAGTTGCCCGGATAAGGAGGGGGAGGGAGAGTGAGGCCGGGGATGACAGTCGAGATGGATTCGCGCGAGCTGGAGAGCGATGACGATCGCGATTGTCCTGCGGACGAGGAATGAGGCGAGGAATGGGGCGAAGGAGTCCACTCACCAGTTGCCGTAGTTGAATGATGCGAGGGTGGCGATGGGTGGTTATGCTGCATCAGGGGGCAGCCACAGACAGGAGAAAAAAAGAAAATAGAAAAAACTGTTGTTGGCCCTACGCGTGCAACCAAACGGGGCGCGTAACAGCCTTTTTTATTATTGGAAATATTTCACAACCGCCACCGCATTCCTCCTGACGCTTCGGGAATTGGGCTGGAGTTCATGCCCCAACTTGGGGAGGGTAAGGTTAAAGCTATGGAGAGATATATCCCTGTTTAGTGTTGTCGTTGCCGATCCTTGCTAAGACTGAAGAAGCCCCGATTGGTGCATCACGCGGCGAGCTGGATTGTGTACTGCACGTCGACCTCGTCCGCGGGCGTCGTCGCTGGCGAGGCGGTTTCCTGTTGTTTCTCGAGGACGATCTCGATCAAAAGGGCCTCGGCGCTGCACGTCCCTTCGTCGTCCGAGCAGTAGTACACGTTGGCCTCCCACTCGAGCGTCTCGCCTTCGGCCGCAGCGTCTTCCCTGTGGCCGGCAACAACACCAACAACAGCGTTGTCGGCGCAAGCGTGTGAGTGTCGTGTGTCGTGTGATGAGCGGCTGCAAAGCATGACGGTCGGTCACCTGATGAGCAGCGTAACGAGAACGTCGTCGACCGCCTCGGTGCTGAACTTGCCTCGCATGGCCGTGAAGTCGCTGAACAGCGCCGACGGCTGGCCTGTGCCGATCGGGCCCAATGGAATGAGATTGAGTTGGGCTCGGACATGCGAGTGGTTGGCGAGAGGGTACCCTGAGGCGCGACGAGCTGCCACTGCGAGGGCGCGCCGGGCGTGAAGTGGTGGCCGGCCGGCGGGATCGCGGCGCTCTTGATCCGCAGCTTCAGCTCGCCCGAGGCCGGAATGACGAATGGACCCCGGCGCGTGATCGTGGCCCTGCTCCTGTTGACCAGGCGCTTGAGCGGCTACAGTGCGACACCGACACAACGCTTGCGGTGAGCGTCTCAATGACCCCCCCCCCAAAGGCCCGTGCCCACGCGTTGCATACGGACCTGGGCCTGTGGCGTGGAAGTGGTCGAGGCTGCTGGTGCGGAGGTGGTCGCAGCAGCAGCGAAACCGGTCAGATCCAGCGTGCGCACTGCCGCCGTGTCGACGTCGATCACCTGTGCGCCACATAAGACCGGCGTTGAGACACGGCTGAAAGGGGGCAAGAGAGAATGGGGGAGTACCCGAATGGCGTGGTTGTTGGTGTCGCACACGAAGACGGTCTTTCCGTCTGCGGTCACGCACGCTCCCGAGGGTTCGTAGAACTGTGCTTCGGCACCAACACCTGTACAACAGAATCCTCATTAGGCATAGTTTCGTGTGCCATGCGTGTCGTGTCGAGTGTCGTGTTGTGTGTGATGTGAGTGTCACGTATGCCGTGCGGTCGCTCACCGTCACTGAGGCCGGGCTTGCCGTTGCCCAGCCAGAAGGAGATCACATTGGTGGCGGGATCCAGCAGCTTGACCTTGTGGTTGTAGGTGTCCGTCGTGACCACCCGGTTGAGCCCGCCGGCGACCCAGCACACGCCCAGCGGGTGCTGCAGCCGGGCCTCCCTCGCCTTTCCCTCCTTGTCGCCGTACGCAAACTGCACATTTTCCTCACTTAGCTGCCATTTATTTATTCGTTATTTATTTATTGCGGGAGTGTACCAGGTTCTTGGGGTCGATGTCGCCGCCGACGATGGTGCGTGTCTTGCCGTTGGTGCGGTGAATGGCGCGAATGGTGCTGCTCTCGGCGTCGGCGATGAAGATCTCGGTCGGACCTACGCTCAGACCCGAAGGCTGCGCCCATGATGCTGTTCGATTCGAATAGGGCAGTGAGCACTTATCGAAGCACACACGACACACGACACACAACACGCGCACACACGCGAACACGAAAGCGCAGGCTAACCTTTCAGGCGGTTGGTGTTGTTTCGGTTCATCTCTTGGCCATCCCCGGAGTAGTTGGTGACGGCGCTGGAATCGAGCGAGACCTCCCAGATCTGGTGCGTGCCGGCCATGGCCACGAACAGCTGCTGGCCTATCCCGTTTTTTATAGAGCACTCTCACTCACGTTAGACACGCTAGCACAAACAACTACACTTGATGATGATGATGATGACGATGACGATAAATGCATACCGTCAGGGGAGAGTGCGACGTCCCAGGGGGTCGAGAGCTGCTGCTCCCTGCCCGACTTGCCGCCCACAAAGTCGTTGCCTTGGGTGCCATCGCCCGCGAGCGTTGTCACCGTCTTTGCCTGCAAGCGCAGACGAGAGGAGAGAGAGAGAGGTCGGGAGAAGAAGAAGAAGCAGAAGAAGCAGAATACGGTGAGTGGAGCGTTATGCAGGAGTTCGCGGGGAGGAGGAAGCATACCAGGAGATCAACCACGCGCAGCGCGTGATTCTCGGCATCGGCGACATAGAGACGTTCGTGTTCATCTGAAGAAGACATATAATTAAGGTGCAAGCTGACGTCAGCGCACACAGGCATTCGGTGCGAGGCACACCCTCGCATAACATGACGCAGGCACGCACCGGTCTTGTGGTAGGCCACGCCTTGAAGGCGATTGAACTTGGCCTCGGCGTAGCTGCCGTCCTTGAACCCCAGCGACCCCCTGGTTCCGATCTCCTCGAGGAAGGCGCCCTGGAGGTCGGTCACCACGATCCGGTGGTTGTTGGAATCCGAAATGAAGAGTCGGCCGTGCTCGTTGTCGATCGCGATCTTGCCCGGATACAGCAACGGCGAAGTCGCAGGCTAGTGGAGTCGTGCGAGGTCAGATTTAGAGCGGCACACACACACACACACACACACACACACACAGCAACACCGCACACGCACACGAGCACCGTCATCGCACGCATGCCAGACTAGTGTACCGACTTGTTCTGCTCCAACAGGGTGGGGAGAGCGTGGTCGCTGAATTCGGCCTTGTCGAACGAATCCAGTGCCACCGCGATGAACTCGTCCACGGCCGCCTTGTTGCCTTCGCCCGTAAACAGCGCCAACTGGGTAAAGGGGAGAAGAGAGAGAGAGAGAGAGATAGCCCTCCATCTGGTGAGTGGCAGCGTCGCGTAGCACGAGCAAGGCAATCAAATATACCGGTTTTAGATCGGGTCCCACGAGCATGAGCGTCGGCCAGCAGTGGATGTCGTAGGCATTCCACAAGACCAAGTCCGCATCGTTCTGGCGTTGACCGGCGCACGTTAATGTTATACGGCGATACGACGGAAGAAGAATACGATGAAGAAGAGAGGGCGATGATGATGACTGATGCGTACCACTACGGGGTGGTGTATGTCGTAACGCATCACCGCCTGCTTGATCGCTTCGTTCTCCTTCTCACTACCGGAAAGAAAGAAAGAATGAAGAAAGGTGTGCGTTGGTGTTCAGTCAGGACGGAAACCCAAAAGAAAGAACACATCATGATTTGTGAGTGGGTCTAGCTCGTGGGCAAGGGGCGTACTTCTCGAACTTGGCCGAGTGCACGCCCACGAAGACGACCGCACGGTCGGCGTACTTGTGCTCCAGCTCGGCAAGCTCGGGAAGAACGTGAATGCAGTTGATGCAGCAGAACGTCCAAAAGCTTTGAACGAGCGAGCCGAGGGTGAGTCTTGGGACAACTGGCCACGGCACGACACGGCACGACACTCACGACATACACGACACGGGGGCTTGGAAATGTGCTTCGTACTCGAGGACGGAGAGCTTGCCACGAAGGTCGTGGCTGAGGCTGAGCGGCCGCGACAGGTTGAACCAGGTCACCCCCTGAGGCAGGTCCTTTACCTCCTCCGCCCCGCCGGCCAACACCTTGACCTTGGCCAAGTGCGCGCCAATGGCCTGCAGAGGGGCGTGAGCTCACACAGCCCACACAAGAGCACCAAAGGGGAAGGGGGACTCGTGCCTTGGCTCGCTCCTCTTTGGATGCGAGCTGCTTCAGTGCACTCTGCAGCTCAAGGCTCAGGCTCTGCACTGCATGAAGCAATTAGATTGGGAGGGAAGGGTGGAAAACATCAGCATCAGCATCTGCGCAGTGCCAATGGCAATGATTAAATCAGTAGGCATTGACTACAACGTACGTTGGTCCCTAAAGCTTGTGGTAGCAGCTTCCATGAAGGTCTAATCTGGGTTAGCAATTATCTTCTTTATTTTTAAATTTATTGGTAAATAAATAAACGCGAGGCCTTCACTCACGTCCCCACTTCCAGGAGCGCCAGGGGTTGGAGCCCTTCTTTGCGGCCATGGCGGAGCGGTCGAGTGAGAAGCTCTGCGTCCTGCGTCGCTCGTCCTCCTCGTGATGGTATTGAAGGTCGCCCCTTCTTTTTGCGAACACGCACCCACCCGGTGAGCTGCGCGCGCGTGCGGTGCGTGCGGTGTGCAGCGTGCGTGTGCGTGCTGTGTGTCGTGCCGTACCGTCGAAGGTCGATAGAGGTGGGGCGGTGGTCTTCCGATGGCCGGGTGCCCATCGAAAATCGACTGCGGCTGTTCCACTCCATGCTCTTGCGCACCAGCTCTGAGCCCTTGTGTGGCAATTTTGAAAGGCCCTTCTGTTTGGTGCGTGCGTGCGCATTGCGTGCGTGTGCGGTGGTGCGTGTGCGGCGATGGTGTTAGAAGGGAAGAAGAGGAAAGGGTGGTTGGTTGGTCAGTTCGACATGTAACGCGTGCCTTGATCTTTCGGTTCTGTTCCTTGGCCTTGGTCTTATTGCGGAAGGCGAACCACCACAGCACCAGCAAGACGATCAGCAACAAGAAGCTGATGCCGACCAAGCCGCCCACCAACGGCCAGAAGTCCCATTCTGGTAGATTGGGCACGTTCATTCTGTGCGTGTTGTGCACACATGCGTCAGCAATGAACAACACGTTGGCACCTTGGCCAAAGTGGTTGTTAGCTAAAGCGTCTCGAGATTAGGGTACCCAAAAAGACCGGCCGCCATGAGGATGGGCAGGGTGATGGCCGTGATCGCGGCAACAGCAATCTCGAACCTTGTATATTGATAGATTGATATATTTTGTTAATTCTTGCGACACGCATAAATCATATTTGAGTGAGGAAGGTCGTACCGCCGTCGTTTGGCCTCCTTCGTCTTCCCCGACTCCTTCTTGCGTACGAGCTGCTCCATCTGCTCCACCATTTCTCGTCTCTTGATCTTCTTTTGCTCCTGTGGGTGATTCGTGTCAAGGCCCGCGCATGTGTGGAAGTTGAGCGCCAGCGCTCTCTCCCCCCTCACCGGCGCATTGTGCGTACCTCCATGTACTGCGATTCTACGATGGCCAGCACGTCGTCGATCTGTTCGCGGATCTCTTGCTTGGCGGACGGTGTGCCCAGCACATGCCGAAGATCCGAAAAGAAGTGCTGCCCTCGCCCAGACGCACAATTCAATCGGTCAGATCAGAGCCTACCACCAGCTACAGCCTGCGACAGAGGTCCTGCACTTATGCACGCGCGCGCATGAGAGAAAGCCCATACCGCATATTCGGATCGCCCACCGCAGTCATCGCTGCTCATGCTCAGTGTGTACCGCACCATCATCGCAGCCTGGCAGGTGGTACAGTCAGCGTTTCAATGCGCCAGTCGGCCTCGACCTCGGAGGAAGGGAAATGGGGCATGTTGTGTACCAGCTCGCGCAACTGAAAGCGATATTTTTCCATCTCGTCGAAGGAGGTGTCTGTACGCAGCATGTCGGCCTGACCCATCGACAGATAGCCCAGCTCCGACAGCACCGCGCTCTCGGCATGCCTGTAACAAAGAATTAGAATATAAAAAATATAGAAATGATAATATATAATAAAAATAAAATAATAAATGGTTGCTACAGAGGCGAGGTGCGTACGCCTGCATGCCGAGAATGAGGTAGATGCCCTGGAACAGCTTGGGCCACGTTTGTACGTCGAAGTAGCGGTTCTCCGCCGACGTCGGCCAGCTGATGCAAACCGTTCCTAATAGCATAAGCAACAACCAACGACCAGGTACGTAAGATTTCTCTGTGTCATGAGACTCACCAGAATCGTGTGGTGCAGACCACACCGCGTACCTTCCCGAGATAGGCCGATGTAGCGGTTCTTGCGGTGCACGAGAATCTGTGTTTGGCGAGTGCACGGCACGAGGGCGAACAAACAAGAGGTTCGATCAATAAGAGGTCCCAAGGTGCCAGGCGAGGAGGCAGTGCATGCTCAATCGCACCTTGTCACGGCCGTAGTCCATGCCCTCTGGCGGCGGTCGGTTCAGCTGTCCAAATCCGCGTCGCAGATGGAAAAGGTACTCGCTCAGCGCCTGCTGCGGCGGTGCCCCTTGCAACACGATTGTGGAGTGGTGGTGGCATCGCTGTCGTTGAGCCAATGCACAAGCAACAGTCAGTCGGGTTCCTCTGGTGCGCGGCAAAGCCGCCGGCTCTCGGCTCTGCTGCACGAGAAGTCGGAGAGGGCCGTCTGTACCTGCCCACGATTGATTCGTGGCGGCGGGTTGGCAGGGTTCTCGTCGGGGAGGAGGACCAGCCAATTGCCCAGCGAGCCCAAGGTGATCGGGTCCTCTCCGTACACCGCGCCGGCCATTCTTAACAGGAGAACATCACACACGGATAAGGACATCAGCTTCACGATCGATAGACGCGGGGGGGTGTCATACCTGCCCAAGCTGCGCAAGTGGCGCTCTCTGGCCCGTTTCAGTTCTTTCCGCCTTCGCTTCTCTCTCCTTCGCTCTTTTTTGGCCTCCTTTAGCCTGCGCCTCTCTTTCGCCGAATCCTCGTCCGGTGAAGAGAGGTCGTCGCTGCTGCTGTCGTCATCATCGTCCTTTTGCTTGCCCTTGCCGCTCGCCCCTTTGTCTTCTTTCTCCTTCTTGTCCTCCTTGGCATCGTTGCTTTTCTTTTCTTCGTTCTCTTTTTCTTCTTCGCTCTCATCGACAACTGCGTTGGTGACCGTCGTGTCGAGCCCCTCTGGACTAGGGAATGTCCAGCCTTCGAGCACATTCTCAACCTATGCATACCACACATTCCACGAAACAGGAGAGTCAACACACTCGCGTATTACAAGGAGTGGAGGAAGGATGACGCGTACGCGGTGCCTGAACTTGGAGAGGAAGAGCCAGGTCCGCAGCTCATCGATGGAAGTGACGCCGTGCAGCTTGCCTGGTGTTCATTGGTTGATGTTAGAGCAACAACAACAAACTTGATGACGTGGATCTCGGAGGTGCTAGCTGACGCACCAGATGGATTCGGTGGCAGCCAATCCACCTCCAAGACGAGCAGTCCCGTGCCCAGAGGGTAGAGAACCACCTATCGAGCGCCACGAGAGGCGTCGTGTCAGACAGCCATATTGCCCTACACTGTACGCTGGGATGGAGTGTCTACCTGGATGTCGGTGATGGCCAGGTCGCACACGATCGATGAGCGCTTGGCTGCGTGGTGCGAGCGAAGCTTGCGGGCCTTGGGCACTTTGTACTCCGTCTCGGTCGCGCTGTCCTCGCCCTCTTCTCCATCCGTCGCGCGCACCTGCGTGCACTCAAATGATTCACATGACTCGGTCAGGCGACCAATGTCTTGAACAACACGCGAGTGAGAGATTATTAGTATTGTTATTACCTGCAGGCCCCACAATTTGGCCGAGGAGAACAGCTGTCGCTTGGCTTCGGCCGTGAGCTTGAGCGTTCGTGATCGCCACACGTCGAGAGTGCGACCTGTCAAGGTTATAGAAAAGATGAGGAAAATGCAGGCGCGACGGCTTGTGGTGGGCCACACCACCACCATCCACCAGTCAACGGGACTGGGCGTACCATTTCGCTCCGGATGATGTTCCTTCCAGCCCAGGCGCTTCCTAAACTGTGGTGCGAGTTCGCCCACCTCCATCGGCAGCGTTTCGTTGGCTTCCCACAGGGGAATACTCTACAGCGAGGCATGACGTACACGGATGTGCTACCTTGCCGCCTTCCTTGTTGGGTATCTTGCGCTGCAGCAGCAGTTCTTCCCACGTTGCCGCTTCGGTCCGCGGGTCCTCCTGTGGCAACACAGAACCTCCGCCCAGATCAGCCCCGGCCACTCTAACCTCATGGCTGTGTGTGTGTATGTTTGTTTGTGTGTGTGTGTTGGGCAAAGACTCTTTGAGAACGCACCCAACTGAACGTCAGAATAAGTGCCGTCTGCGCGACCAGCAGGCTCATATCCCCGTCGTCATTGAAGCCATCTTTGGGATCAACACGCCCATCATCACGCACGCTGCGAGTTAGTCGTGCGTGCCTGTGGTGCGTCGATGCGCCACGGGGAGGCATTAGTGACAATGTCGCGCCACCTCGGGCGACGGTACCTTGTTCTTCACTGTCACGAGGAGGCCTCGGCGATTCGTGCGAGAACGAAGTGCGGCCCGTTCGTGTCTCGTGCTCACGCAGGAGACGGTCGCTCTCCTGTGAGGGCGGGACACACGACACACGACAACACACGACAACACAATACAAGAAGACCGTGATATGAGTACTTAAGTGCTGACAATATGTGAGAGCGAAGTTGTCCCAACACATTACCCGCAGTATGGGCCGTTGGAGCGACGCAGCTTTGCGGCGCGGCTCCCTCTGGGTTTCCTATCAGACACACGCAGCCACACTGAATGGTGAGCACGGGCGCAACGCCAAAAGGGCACCAAGTCGCAGTACCTCGGCCTGCAGGCGGGGCTGATGACTGTGGTGGCGGTGGTTGTGGTCGTTGTTGTTGTCGTGCTCTCTCTTCCTCTGGTGCTGCTTCTCGCGCAGCGCATTCCAGTCGGCGCGCATCGGTCGATAGCTGAGCTGATGCCGGTCCACGCTCTCCTCTTCGCCTTCCCCCACATCGCCGTCTTCACGTCGACGAGGGTGCACGCCCACTGTCCGAAGTGGTGGCTCGCTGGCAGGACCCTTCTGAGCCGGCTTGGCGGAGTCTGTCGGCTTCTTGCTAGCACCTTGCTCCATCTTTTTGTTGTTGCGAGCCTTCTGCTTCTTCTTCAGGTCGACGGCACAATCGCGTTCGGGAGGAGGGGAGAAGATGGATGGGAGCTCTCCATCTTCGTCGGTGCCCTCGCCATCTCCCAGCAACTTCATTTCCATCCCTTCATCTTCATCTTCAACTCCAGCCCTACGTGCGCGGGTACTACCGTGCACGCCTGCTCCTCGATCTCGTTCATCCTCGCTGCTGCTCGAAGCGGCCAACGAGGCGGCCGATTCTGTCGTCTCATCTTCTTCATCTTCGTCGGGTGGCGGCACCGGCCCCATTCTCGATTCTAGAATCACTGCACGGCCGCCAGGTGCACGAGCCTTGACCTCCAGCACTCGTCCCGACCCCTGCATCCTCAAGTTCTCTTCTTCTCTTCCTCAGGCCTTGATGATGGATGGCGGCCAGCAAGACATCGATCAAGAGATCCCAAAGTGCGGCCGGTCCGAAGTGCCGTCTTGTCTTGTTCCAGTTTCCGCTCGCTTTTCCCTATCACGGCCTGAGAAAAACGGTAACATTTTTATTTTTCTTCTTGTTTTCCGGTTCCATTTCTTTTGTAATTAATATTGTTTCACAAAGAAAACACATAATTGAGTATTGGATGTGCTTTAGTTGACGGGAGACCTTTGTTGATCTCTCCACACCACACCCATCAATGCACCATCAGTCGGGGAGGAGCTTTCCTCTTCTCGATGAGGACAAGAAGAAAAATAAAAATGGACGGACGAAGATGAAGATGACGACCGAGACCACTTCATCATCACTTCTCGATTCTTCCTCCGGCCAATTCGCTCCGGTGACCCCTTTGGCCTCGGCCGAAGCCTTTCCGGCCGTCATCGTTGCCGGCACGACCACTTCAGCCTCGCGACTGGCCCTGATGAGCTCCGACGACTCCCTACCATCGTCCGGTACCTCGACCCCCTTCTCCAAGATGCCCTCCCCCTTCCGTCGCCGGGTGGACGGCGACCAGGTCAAGGGCGGCCTCTTCGTTGATTTCGAGTCGTCGACGTCGCCTCCTCTCTCGCCCACATCTACAACATCTCTGAAGATGGAACAGATGGAAACAAAGGAAGAAGATGAAGTGTCGCCCAGGAAGAAGGCCGGGTGGAGGTCGGGCGAGAAGAAAACGAAGAAAAAGAAGGGTCACAGCAAGGGAAGCGAAGACACGACGTCGACGGATGACGGCGAGGGTTCGAGCCGCAGGAAAGCGCCGGGCCAACTGGTGATCAGCAACGGCCGCGTACCGACCACGGCTGCGGCCGTAGCAAAGACCGAAAGCGAACGCGAAAGCGACGGCGAAAAGCGAAGAGCGGACAAAAAGAACGAAAGAGAAAGAGGTGCGGAGACGACTTCGACGCCCGGGATGATGCGATGCACGTCGGACGGCGTGTCGCTGGTGCGCAAGGACCCGAAGCGGGCGGCCGCGCTGTCGCCGACCGCGTCGGTATCGGCCGGCATGAGCAGCGTGTCAACGATGAAGAAGCATTCGAACAAGAAGGAGAAGAAGGAGAAGGAAAGAAAGAGAAGAAAGAGAAGAAGGAGAAAAAGGCGGCCTCCAAGAAGGAGAAGGTGGAGGGCAGCAAGCGCGGCTCGCTTGTGCGACGCGCCAAGAGCGAGCGCAAGATGAACCGCATGGAGAAGCTGGACCACCAGCTCGGCACGCGCGGCCGTCGTGCCGACATTGGCGTCGATGGCGTCGGCGGTGGTTGGATGGCCGAGAGCGCGCGAACGGTTCAGATCGGCGGCATACGCCGCGGGATCAGCCTCGAGAACGAAGAGATGACCATCGAGCGGCTCCGGCAGCAGGCCCTGCTGCGCGAACACGAGCAGCTCCGCGAAAAGCTCGAGCGCGTCGAGCAACAGAAGAATGAAGAGGAGGAGAAGGCGGCCACGAGCGTCGCTTCGGACGTGGTGGTCAATGCCAGCGAGAAGAAAAGAATGAAGACGACAACACGGAAAAGAACGAAGACGACCACGATAAGAGTCGAGGCACGATGGAGGAGCGCGTGCGGCGGTTGGAGGGCCTTGTCGAGCGTCTGGTCGGTGAGCAGGCCGACATACGGCGCCAGCACGCCGAGGCCGTCGACGCGCTCAAGCGCGAGCACGAGGACGCGCTGCAGCAGATGATCCTCCAGATGAAGCACCTTCGCGAGAGTCTGCTGCTGAGCGGCGGCGGCGGCGGCGGTCAGAAGAAGAAAGCCGCCAATCGGGTCATGAGCGGCATTCTGCCGATCACCGGCGGCGGCAGCAGCAGCAACTCGAGTCCCGACCTGGTCCACCGGCGTGCATCGATGGGCGCCTCGGGCGCGTCGTCGGTGCTGACCCGATCGAGCTCGTCGCTGCTGGGGTCCCCCACCAGCGAGGAGTCTGCGCGACCACGCGACTCCGATGCGGCCAACGACAAGCCCAGCGTCGCGCCTCTCATCCTCGTCAACACGCCGTACCAGATCGATCAGCGCTCTGCCACTGGTAATCGCACACGACACACGACACACGACACACGCACACACGCACACGCACACACGCACACACGCACACGCCTTGGCTGACTCGTGGTCTGGACAGCGCGTCCGCGTTCGCGGAGCGTCAAGGAGCGGCCGGCGGGCGGAGAGCCCAGCAGGAAGGGCCTCACCTTCCGCAGCCTCAGCTCGCGCTTCCTCGACAAGTCGTCGTCGTCATCGTCGTTGTCGTCGGCGTCGGCGGCGTCGCGTCAGCGCGTCGACAGTCTCACGACGGGCAGCAACAGCTGGCACCACAGCCGCGACGCCGGCAGCAAGCGGGTCAAGCGCAGGAAGAACGATCTCAGCCGGAAGAGCGGGAGCAGCGGCGGCAGCGGGAGCGAAAGCAAGCGGGAGAGCGACAGCGATGATGATGACGATGAGGGTGACGACAATGAAGGTGATGGTGGTGACGATGGGCGGCTGGCGATGAAGATGATGACGCGGGGCCGATCGCAGTCGTCGCCGCGACTGCATTCGGTGGCGCCTCCCTCGCCGCTGTCCTCCGGGCGCAGGCGCAGCAAGGCCGACGAGGAAAAGCGCAGCAAGCCCTTTTGGCCCTTCAGCCCCCGCGGTACCGCACACTACGACACAGGACACAGACACAGGACACACGACACAGGACACAGGACACACGACACACGACACACGACACACGACACACGACACAAAACTGATGCGCGTGCGGCGATACCAGATCCACCGAAGACTGCGGCGTGGGCCAAGCTGTTGGATGAGCCGTCCGAGGCCACAGCCGCCGCCGCCGGTGTTGACGGCGATACCCACCAGCAGCAGCAGAAGGAGCGCACACCGGACGAAGTGGCACGGCTGGCGGCGGAGCTGCACGAGGCCTGCCAGAGCCTGGATGTGGAGCGCGCCGAGGCCGTGCTCAAGGCCGCCAAGCAGAAGGGCTTCGAGAAGCTGCGCGCCGCACTCGCCGGCCTCAACGCGCAGGGCGAGACTCCTCTCGTACACGCGCCTAATCACGTCACCCACCCCACGACTCCCATTCTAACGCATGTCGCGTGTCGTGCGTTGTATGCGTGTGCGGTGGTGCGTTGTGTGTGCGTGTGCGGTGGTGCGATGCTGTAGCATGTGGCGAGCGAGCGCAACCCGGTGGGACTGGTGCCGATGCTTCTGCAGTATGTGCAGAAGGCGGAGAGTGAACTCCACCGCTCGAACCCCAACCCGGCGGTCCAGTCGCTGGTCAACTTTCGCAACGATCGCGACTGGACTCCCCTCCACTCGGCAGCCTGGTACTCACGACACACACACACACACACGACACACACGACACACGACACACACGACACACGACACATACACACGACACACGCTGTGTCACCACCACCACACACGCGCACTTACGATGAATTGGTCGCGATGTGTTGAAGGGCGGGCCAGCTGCTCAATTGCCGCCTGTTGTTGAAGGCCAACGCCGATGCCTCGCTGTTGACCGTCAGCGGCGTGTCCGTGCTTCACAAACTATTCGACCCCCAGCACGACGGTACGCGCGACACACACACACGACACATACACGACGCACGTCGCACGTCGCACACTGACACCATTGGTGTATGTGTAGATGAGACGATCCAGCGACACAGCCGAGAGGAGCTGATGAACCTGGTGGCGGACATGGTGGACCTCGGCGCGCCCGTCAACGCCCGATCCGTCCAGTCCGGCGAAACGGCCCTACACCTCGTACGCCACGTCGTTCCCTTCACCAATCCACGCATGACTCAACCCTCTGCGCGCGCGTGTCGTGTCGTGTCGTGTCGTGTGTCGTGTGCGGTGCATGTGCATAGGCGTGTTCGCGAGGCAATGTCACCGCGGTGCAGTGTCTATTGGAACACGGGGCCGACCCCAACCTGTGCGCCACCAGCACGCGGGAGACGAGCCTCCACTACGCGGCGCGCGGCGGCAAGGAAGCGATCGCCAGGGTTTGCGCTCCCCCCCCCGAAGGCGTATACTGATTGGTGGTCAAACCTGGTCAAGTTGGCTGACAACCAGTTGCGCGCGTGTGCGGTGGTGCGTGTGCGTGTGCGGTGGTGCGTGCAACAGTTGTTGCTGGCGTCTGGAGCGGACCCAGAGGTGGTGGGCGCCCACGGCACGCCGCTAGAGGTGGCCAAGGCTGCAGGGCAGGAGTGCGTGGTGCCGTTCCTGGTGCAGGCTCGGACCCGCACCTCGGACAACCCCGGCGGCGGCTGCAAGAAGAGCGAAAACGAAAGCGAAAGGCAAGAAACAAAGAACGAAGACGACGAGCGACGGCACAAAGAGTGAAAAACGAGACAGAAGAGAAAAGTGAAAGGGTGGTGCTGTGGCGAGAAGAAGAAAAGCAAGCACAGAGTGCACGCTTGGGAAACCACACAGCTCCATCTACACTCGTCTTTTTATTCAAAACGAGATTAATACAAGAGCTGACAATCACAGTTCACCCGCCCTTGGGCCAATTGCTTTGGGGCGAGCCCATGGAGCGCATCATGTTCTGAAGGCCGCTCAAGCCGCCCATCTGCTGCAGCATTGCCGGAGGAATCAAGTTCGCCATCGGACCCAAGCCCTGTCCCTGTGTCCGCCCTCCCTGTGTGCGTGCGTGTCGTGTCGTGTCGTGGTCGTGTCGTGTGTGTCATTTGGCTAAGGTGAGTGTCGTGCGGTGGTGTCATCTGCTCTGGGAGGGTGGTAACCTGGCGAAGACCTCCGCCTCTTCGTGGAGGCGCGATGCGAGTGATTGCGCGATAGTTGGCCAGGAGCGCGTTCACGTCGGTCACTGCGCAACCGGCGCCCCGAGCGATGCGATGCACGCGCGATTGCACGTCCTTCTCCTTCTTCCACACCTCGGGGTCGTCTAGCTCTGAAGAATAGAACAAACATTAGAGTTGAGTCGCCGTGTTGCTGACGGTCCAAACATGGAATGTTGATGGAATGTCTGGGTGCGATCGGGTACCGTCGTCGGTCATGGAGTCCATGATGATCATAAACTTCTTCACCTTTCTGGCGGGGTCGCCTTCTTCTTCGTTGGGCTGGAACAGCTTGTCCATGCCGGGTATCATCTCGATCACCTTGTTCAGTGGACCCATCTGGCCACACAACGTGACAAGAGCGTTAGGCCACTACACGACTGTATAACACTTCACACAGAACATGTGTTACCTTGAGAATGGTGGTCATTTGCTCGTAGAGATCGCGAAGCGTGAAGCCGCCCTGGAGAAGTCGGTTGGCCATCAGGGCGCTGTCACGCTTGCCCTCAGCGGACGTGTCAGCCCCCACCGCGTTCTTCATCGTCTCCATCAGCGCAGGAATATTACCCATGCCTGTCTCGTAGGCACCAACACATCAGTCGCCTTTCCTGCGACTGAAGAGGGAGAAGAAGAAGAAAACTAGTACCGAGCATCTTTTGGATGAAGCCCCTGGGGTCGAACGATTCCAAGTCATCAACGTGTTCGCCGGTGCCGATGTGGGTGATGGGACAATTCGCCGCCGCCACGCTGCCAATGCCCAGAAGAAAGAAAAAGAAAACGAAAACGAAACCTCGTGAGCCACCCCCGGGGGGGGGGTGATGAATGTGTGGACTGCGTACGCAGAGAGGGCGCCGCCTCCTCGGGCGTGGCCGTCGAGCTTGGTCACGATGATGGAACCGATGCGAATGCGCTGCTTGAACGCCAGCACTTGGTCGTAGGCCGCTTGGCCTATCGTGCCATCCAGCACGTACATCACTGTGTCCGGATTCTGAAGCCGCACACAACACACGACACACACCAGACACGCCGGGTGAGATGCCGATTCGTTGACGAAGAAGACGAAGAAGAACTCAGCTGAGGACTCACCACGGCGGCGGCCAACTGCTCCATCTCTTCGAAGAGCTGGGCCTCTTGCTTGTGTCGCCCGCTGGTGTCGACCAGTATGATCTCGCGGCCCTCGCGCTTGAAACAGTCGATGCCCTCACGCGCGACCACCACCGGGTCGAACTGGGTGCCGTCGGCGTAGGCCGGCACCTGGATGGCCCGGGCCAGCTGCAGCAGCTGGTGGTCCGCGCCCGCCCGGAATGTGTCGGCGCATACCATGGCCACCTTCCAGCCGCGGCGCTTGTACTGGAGCGCGAGCTTGGCCACCGTGGTGGTCTTGCCCGCGCCCTGCAGGCCCACGAACATGACCACGTTGGTGCGGCCCCTAGCGGGCGAGAACTTGGGGTTGGCCTGGCCGGGCTGGGGGTCGACCAGGGCCACCAGCTCGTCCAGCACCACCTTTCGAGGGACAGCGAAGTGGTGAGCAAGAGGGACCAAGAGTGAGGAATGTGAGGAATGCAACACGCACCCGACGAATGATCTTCTGCTTGGAGGAGCCGGGAATGGCGAACTCGCGCTGTATCCGCTCGCGCATGCGCTGCCTCATCTGGACCACTAGCTTGACCTGGACATCGGCGGCGATGAGTCCGTTGCAGATCTGCTTGAGCATGTCGTCGACGGTGTCCTGGTCCACCAACGTGGCGCGCGCCACCATGTCCACCGCCTGCTTGATCTTAGTGCCCAGCTCTCGGAGCGCCATGGTTTGGGTGGGTGGTAGGAGTTGATCGAGGCGGGTCACCCTTGGGTGTTTTAGTAGCAGCCCACACGAGCCATTGCGGCCCCTATCAGCGGTCGCGGTAGCGGATGTGGCGCGCCTTCGGCTGATTGACTTTCTTCGACCACGAATCACCTACGAAAGCTTTCGTAAGCTTGACCAAGTCAACAACTAAAGAAACACAACACGCCCCTCGCGGCGGGTGTGTGTGGTCTGTTTATTTCTGTTCTGTGTAGAGGGTCTAGTCAAACTTGATGCCCTGCGCCAGAGGAAGCTCCTTGCCGTAGTTGATCGTGCTGTTGTGGTTGTGGTGAGTGGTGATGAACTCCACATAAGAGCTCTTAGGGGAGGGCAGAAGGTGACCGTACCAGGTGGACCTGCGCATGTACTGCTTCCAGGAGTCGGAGCCGGACTCGCGACCGCCGCCGGTCTCCTTGTTGCCACCGAAGGCGCCTCCGATCTCGGCGCCGTTGGTCGGGATGTTCACGTTCACGATACCGCAATCCGATCCGCTGGGTCTGCACCAAGACACACACACACACGATACGAATGAGTTCATTGCGCTCGAGACGGAAGCTTGAAGAGAGAATCTTTTACCCGATCCACTTGAAGACGTTCTGCTGGTTGGTGGTGAACAGCGAGCTGCTGAGCCCCTGCGCCACCTCGTTGTTGTAACGAATGGCCGTGTCAAGGTCCTAAATAAGGAGGGCATAATGAGTGAAGGTTGCAGTAAGGTGTAAGGGGTATGACATGTGCATGTGCGTGTGCGTGCGGCCGTACGGGAACTTTAGAGACATAGAGGATGGGCGCGAAGGTCTCGTGGAGGGCGATGGGGGCGTCGTGCTTGATCGACACGATGGTGGGCTCCACGAAGTTGCCGGGCCTGTCGGTCTTCACCTTACCGCCGGTGATGATCTTGCCGCCCTGCTCCTGCGCCTTGGCGACGGCGTTCTTGTAGAGGTCGACGGAGGAGGGGCGGTGGAGGGGACCCGAGGAGAGTGTTCTTCTCGAGCGGGTCGCCCATCTTCTGGCCCAACTGCTCGTAGGCGGCCTTGAGGCTGCCCAGGAACTCGTCGTGGATCTTCTCGTGCAGGAACTGCAAAATGCAACCCACGACACGACACACACGAGGGAACACGTCATGAGCCTCTGCCTGCGTGTCTTACGTGGCGTGACGCTTTGCACAGACGTACCAATCGGCGAGCGGTCGTGCAGCGCTGGCCAGCGGTACCCACGGCGGCGAACAGGATGCTGCGGACAGCCAGAGTGAGGTCGGCATCATCAAGCACTGGAGACCGCCGCCCAAAGGAAAGCTCTTGGTAAGTAACGCTACGCTGGGGCGTGCGCCGGGACGGTGGGATGAGATACCGGTGATGGCGTTGTTGCCGCCCAGCTCGAGCAGGCTGCGGCCCATGCGAGACGCGACCTGGGTCGCCACGATCTTGCCCACCTGGGTGCTGCCAGTGAAGGAGACGAGCGGCACGCGCGGGTCCTTGGAGATGGCCTCACCGATCTCGGCGCCGCCGGTCAGGGCCACGCAGATGGAGCCGGGCATGCCGTTGCGCTCCAGTACGCGCTGGATGATGCGCTGGGTGGCCAGCGTGCACAGGTTGGTCGAGGGTGCGCCCTTCCAGATCAGCGGGTTACCGCAAACGAGAGCAAGCGCCGCATTCCAGCCTACGCGACACAACACACACACACCACACCAGTTAGCTCCGATTGGTGCAACAGGGCCGGGTGACTAATTGGTACCCATGACGGCAACAGGGAAGTTGAAGGCGGTGATGATGCCCGTGGTGCCGATGGGGTTCCACTGCTCAAGCATGTAGTGGTTCGGGCCTATATATAAAATGATGGTGCACCATCATCACCACGACACGCAGGGCGTGAGTCGAACAGCAGCACACAATGCTGTGAAGGGGAGGGGGAAAAAGATGGGAGGTAGACGCACGCTCCGACGGGAAGATCTGACCGGAGAAGGAGCGGGAGAGACCGACGGCGTAGTCGCAGACGTCGACGAACTCCTGCACCTCGCCGATGCCCTCCTGGGTGATCTTGCCCACCTCGAGCGAGACCAGCGCGCCCAAGTCCTCGAGGTGCTTCCTCAGCTCGTCACCGATCTGTCGGACGATCTCTCCTCGCTTGGGGGCAGGCACCTGTTCATTTTATTTTTGATTTTAATATTACCACAAAAATCAATATAATGGCTTTAGCATGTAAACTATGAAAATCATCCGATAATTTTACGCAGTAAATCAACGTACCTCGGCCCACATCTTCTCAACGCTCTTGGTAGCCTCGATGGCGCGCTCGTAGTCCTTCAGCCCCGCGGTGGCGACGCGAGTGATGGTCTCGTTGTAGGCCGGGTTGACGGAGTCGACGACCTCGCCGCTGCCCTTGCTCCACTTGCCATCGATGCACACGCCATCGTTGACCCCCTCCTCGATGCCCAGCGATTGCAGGAAGCGGGCGTGCTTGGCGTATTGGCTGCCACCAGTGGCAAGGCCGCGGCGGCCCTGCAGGTGAAGGGAGGCCCGCGAGGGCACCACAAATTGCTTCGATGCACAGCTCAACCTCTTCATCTCAGTTCTGTTTTGATTGATGATTCTGACCCGCGCCACCAAGGCAGTTTCCGTACGGTTGATTCGGCTGGATCCGAGCTCACCAAAGGAATGCTAAGAATCGTCGCCAGCTTTAGAGTGTGCATGCCTCAAATTCTTCTATTGAAGCGGACTGTCCCGGTGCTAAAGCTGGTGCTGCAACGCAACGCCACGAGACCTACGCCCCAGCGCACCTTCCACAACATCCTCGAGGACCTCGAGCAAGACGCATGGCGTACAAGGCCGGGACAGAGACGGAGGATGTGAGGTGTACAACAAAGACATGTTTGGTCATTATTGAACGAGTTTGAACCAACTGGCGTTGTAGGATGTGGATGTGCACGAGTGATGGTGGTCGCATCATGGCATGATGAGCTGGTTGTTGGCAAGAAGATACCAGAAGGCGCTGCCGTAGAAGCCCTTCAGACCCTGCGTCTTCCAAGTCTTTTTGATGCAATCCCACAAGCTATCGTAGGCGTCGGGGTGTGCTCTCAGCTATAGGTGCACACGTGTACGGATAGGCAGGTCAGCGAAGGTGATGAAGATGAAGGTGAAGGCGGAGATGGTGAAAGAGGTTGTAGTGGATCATCATTACCTTGGTCACGATGGTCGACTACGGGCAGGTGGATGAGGCCAACGAAGAGCGAACCCATGAAGTGCACGCCACGGATTCCCACGTGATACGCGGCCTGATCGGCCAACGTCTCGCCGTCGGCCTTCGCCAGGAGCCACTCGCCAAACAATACATACAAGGTGTCTGAGGAGGCCAACAACAACAAAAGATAACGAGACGGGGTGGTGAGACACGCAGCTTGGAGAAACAGCGTCCCAACAAAGCATTGAAGGCCTGGTCAAGGCGGGCAGCCCTCGTACCGACAATAGCCGGGCGGATGGTGTGGAGGGTGACCATCTCGGCCAAGTGGGCCACCACGTTGTCCCTCAGCTTGCCGTAGAAGTTCTCGCCTGGTGTTCACACAGCGTCGCAGAGACATCAACGCATAAACAACGTAAGACTACCACATATCACCAGTACAGACGCGCACGCGAGCAGAAGGTATCGTAACGTTACCAGAGGGCAGGAGGCCAGAGAATCCCGTCCAGGCGTGGTGCCGAACCTAGAGCAAGAGAGAAGCCATGACACGATTCTCAGAACAGTCCCACTCTTAGTCTTGCATTAACGAGGCAGGGCAAGGACCTGGTAGGAAGCGAGGAACAGAGGGTAGGTGACGGCGCTGGCGATGCTGTGCGAGGTGATGAGAGACATGAAGGAGCTGCTCTGCCAGTCGACGTCCTCGCCCGAGGTCATGCCCAGCAACACGGGCACCATACGGCAGAAGACTGTGTGTGGTAAAAGAACAAAGAAGGAGATACAAGAGCCAATCCTCGAAAATCAGTTGTGGTGCAAATGCAATGTCATGTTCAAACGTGGCGATGTACCGTAGGAGATTGAGGCGATGACGCCGTAGAACAGATCATTGGTGAAGGCGAGAGATGTGGCACCGATGATCCGCACGGCACCCTCTTCCTTGTAGTAATTGAGGAGCGTGTTCACAACATTTTCGTCCTTGGCCTGCACCTGTTCATCCAACGTGCGGCCGGGACCTCCCATTCGGGCTGCCGAGGCGGCAGCGGCGATCTGCCGCTCGTAGAGGGTGCGCGAGGGCACATTAACCAACGAGTACTCGCCCACCTTCAAGACCAGTCGCGTAACGATGGAGGAGAGAGACAGGAACTGCGGCTCCTCCACGGCAGGGGTGCCTGTAGCCACAGGAACGCCAGGCTGGGGGTATCCAGCCGGTCCAGACGGAATTGGACCGCCACCCGCCCCCACGCCGCCGCCCCTCGGCATCGGGTAGTAGGGAAGGCCAGGCTGAGCCGATGCAGCTGACATTTGTGCAATTGCGCAATCAATGCAGATCTTTTACGGTCGACATCTTTTTTCGCGTTATTATTTTTCTTCTATTTTCAAAGAACACTCGACTGCACGACACAGTTGGTTTGCTGTTCGAGGGCTTCATACCCATACCGACGCGAAATGGGACCTCCCCGGATTGTGGAGGGGATTGGAGGGCGAGCGCCAGGTCAACCCAGAGGGAGTCTTCTTCGCTCTTTGCTCGCGCAGAAATGGTTTCCTTTATTTTCTCTTTCCTTTTCATTTTTACTTTTAATCTGCAAGTCCGAATTCATTACCAGGAAGGCAAGTGGGGTCTTCTTTTTTATTGCTGCACTACAAGCTTGGCGAACGAAGATGGGCAAACGGAAGCAGTCGAAAACGGAAGATGAGGTGAAGGGTGTGCAAATAGAAAATGTGGCGGCGGCAGCTCCGAAGAAGCGTCGGCTTGCCAAGCGCACGAACCGGGGCAGGGTCGCTGCAGCCGCGGTCCAGACTCAGGAGCAGACCGGCACCTCGCCGCTCGGGGTGCTCAACGACGATTGTCTCCTCCACGTGCTGAGCTTCATCGACGGTCCGGAGCAGCTTTTGCAGCAGAGGGCCGTGAGCCGGCATTGGGGCAGCCTCGCCTCGTCCGACCCCCTGTGGCGCCCCCGCTTCCTCCGCATGTTCGGTCCCCACGTCTTTGGTATTCGTCCCCTTCTTCTTTCCATGAAGGCCAGCTGGGCTGATCTTCTTCTCTTCTCACCCTCTGCGCGAAGGTGCGGCCGACGAGGAGCTGGCGAGGAAGGGAGACAAGCCAGTCTCGCGGCGCTTCTCCTACTACGCCGAGGAGGAGGAAGATGATGTCAACCACGCGGGGCACGCCGAAGACGATGAGCACCCGGACTGGGAGTACTCGGACGAGGAGACAGACGAGCCTCAGAACGAGGTCGCACCGAAGAAGCAGAAGCAGAAGAAGAAGAAGATGAAAAAGACAAAGAACGAGTCGAGAGGCTGTGGCCCGGTGGACGACTCGAGTCTGAAGGAGTCCATCGAGCATGTGCGCCGTGCGCTTGAATCGAAAGGGAGCGCTGGTGGCCCAGAGACGGTGGGCGGCACCTGGCTCTACCGCTACATCGCCACGTGTCGTCTCATGCCGCGCCTGAGGCTGCCCCACGTCACCGACGCGCTCAAAAGCAAGGTGACTGACTGGTGCGCTAGCACGGAGGAGGTTCGTCAACTGCGACGTCTGGACCCGCCCGCTCTGCACCGCCAACTTACGCGTCTCCTCTTCCATCACAGATGGAGGTCTCCCCCTATTACTACACGAGCCGACTGGATTTTTGTGTGGTTGATCTGCCCCACTACCCTCGTGGCGACGTTCACTACCGCCTTCACCGACTGGCGGTGCTGTTGTCCCTTCTGAGCATGTACGGCCCTCTCTCTCTCCCTCTCTCCCAACGATTGCACTTTTGATCTGGTGTCACTCACACCCGGTGGCCAGCAACAAGTACGCGCCCAAGCCGGGCGATGAGATCCAGATCGGCTACGCTGGCAAAAGCTGCACGATCACTCTGGCCCGATTCTGCTATGCCTTCCTCCATGGGTACGCATCGCCCGCGCAAGTGCACAATCGCTCCGTTGTGCTGCGCTTATGGGCCTTGAGTTCATTTCTGCTCTCTGCTTCAATACCTCAGCAAGGAGCGGAAGCTGGCGGAGGAGCTGGACCTGCTCAGCCCGCCGCCCGCTTGCCCGGACACAAAGAAAATGAAGACCAAGGCGACGACGACGAAGAAGAAGGGTAAGAAGGCACCGAGTGAGTCCGAAGATGAAGTCGACGACGACGATGACGATGACAATGATGACGAAAACGCGCGGAAACCCCCGAGGCGCTATGGTTGGCGGGAGTTCAAGGAACCGGCGCTCAGCCTCAACGTCGTGGGCGACTTCACCCCGTTCGCCTACTTCCTTTCCGGCCCCTACGGCCAGAAGACGCACTCATTCGACACGACCTATCCCTGTCTCGACGACAACGAGGAGATCTTTGGCTCCTCGTCCGACATCCAGGCCTCCTACTGCTTTCGCACCGTACGCCAGCAGTTTGCTTCCGACATTTATTTATGTATTTTGTCTCTGTGTGCGTGTGCTGTGGCGTGTGTCGTGCGTGTGGCGTGTGCGTGTGGCGTGCTCACACACACACACTTATTTCGTTTTGATTGAAACGTGCAGCCTAAGAGAGGGTGGGCGCCGGGGTTCTTCAACGCTTCGTTCTCCTGGTACAGCCACGCAGCCGTCAGCACGTTCTACAACCCCACGCGGCGGCAGATCCTCGTCATCAAGGCCCTGGAAAAGGAGATGGTGTGGTAACGCACACGCACACATCGCACACGCATCGCCGCACACGCGGGGTAATGAACGAAGAGGAATGCCAACCGATGCATTGTAGGTTGTATGAGAAGAGCGTGTTGACGAGCCCTGCAACGCAAGCTGGGCGCACAGACCACAGGAAGGTCACTTCTTGCCGCCGCCCAGGCTGAGGTCGCGCAGTTCCTTGAGGATGTTGGTGCCCGGCCCGGCCATGCCCGATTGGGCTTCGATCGAGTCGAGGATGTTCTTCATGAGGTTGAGGTTGATGTCCACCGGCCGCAGCTCTTCCTCTTCTTCTCCCCCATCTCCAGCACTCGGGTGCGCTACAATTTGGGCCGACGATATGATTAGAGTCAGTCGTTCGTTCAAGGGAAGAAGAGGAGGAGGAGGAAGGGTTGCACAAGGTACCTTGCGGTATCGGTGCCGAGGACTTCCTCGGGTCTGGGCGCCTTCTCGAAGTCGTCGGCAAGCTTCGTCTTCTGAAGCTCCAGATCCATCTCTCTCATGAGTCTTCGCATCTTCTGTTGGTCGGCCTGGGCGCTGTTGCGATCTGTCTCTTCCTCTTCTTCCTCTTCATCCTGCCAGAGGGACATGAATAAGTCTCTTGTGTGTCGTGTCGTGTGCGTGTCGTGTCGTTCGACTTACCTCATCGCTGCCCATGCCAAAGAACTCGTCGGGCTCCTCTTCCGACTCGTCTTCGTCGTCCAGGCTCATTTCGCCGTGGTCCATGCCCGACCCACCCAGCGCCTGCTGCATGATCTGCATGAATCGATCGGCGTCGAACGACATCGCTTCGTCCCCGGCTGCGCTGCTCGGAAATTCGGCGCCTTCGAAGCTCGACACCTTGCCCATGAAGTCCTTCATGCCGCCGACGAGCTCCATCATCATCTTCATGTCGACATTGTCATCGCCCTCTTCGCCACCTGCTGCCCTGGTCTTCTTCTTCTTCGACGCTTTGGCCGCGGTCTTCTTCTCCACCTTCTTGTTCATCTCCTTTGCCTCGTAGGCATCGAACTCCTGTTGCTTACGAGCGAGAATGTCGTCCACCTGATCGCGAGTGAGAGAAAGGAAACGGGCATGTATGAGAACAAAGAACTAGCCAGCTCGAGCAAGATTGTGAAAAAGATGGGGCAACGCACCTCCTCAGGCGTGACGGTCATCCAGTCTAGTCGGTCATCAGGCCGAATAGAATCGTGCAAAGACCGGAGGAATTCGCTCCCGTCCAAGGGTCTACCGCCACGTAGAGACAATGAGCCTACGAACGACGACAACAACAACAACACACACACGACATGCAGCCATTAATGTAATGGTACCGTGCGAGGATTTCGTCAATCTCCTTCTGGAGCATTCGTTGCATCGCTTCGTCGGCGCTCAGGTCCTCCTCGCTTCTGCCCTTTTGGGCGGAGCTCTTCTCGTCGCGCTTCCCCGTTGCCTGTTGTTGGTGTCGGTCCTCCAGGTACTTCTGCTTGGCCACACCCAGCTTCCGTTGGTACTCCCGCGAGCCCTTGACCTCACTCTGACGAAGAGCAATGAATCGACAGACAGGAGTCATGAGCTCGAGTGCTATAGGATAGGAGCCCAATGAAAAGAGTAAGTACCTGGAAGTAACCGAGTCCCTCCAGCGTATGAAGGAAGGCCTTCCATTCTCGGTCCGCCTCAAAGTCGTATGTCTGTGCCGGCAGAATATAAGATAGCCATTAGCCGATTTTATATTTTAGTCAAAGGGTTGAATGTTAGGGCTCTAGGTACCTTGACATCATGTACCGCGGTCGCGGCGGCTTCGTCGGCTTTGCTCTTCCGTTTGATGTCGTAGAGAATCTCGAACCCACAAGCCTGCACAAGGGCGGTGAAGAGAGGAATTAGGATTACGCCCAGTGTGCGAAAAAACCAGCTGAGGAGTGCACATACGAGCTTCATGCCCAGCACGTGGGCGTGATGGTCCGGGTGCTCCTCCGGGGGGATGTAGGGGGCAAAGACTTTGGGCGGCTCGAAACGTTGCGAGGCGAGCATAGCGTAGAGACATCTTGTGAATCGCACCATGGTCATCACCATTCCCTTCACGAAGCGAATCGTAAGCAGCGCACCGACGGTGAGGAGACAAGCAAAGTGGCAGGCACAAAAGGGCAAAGGTGAGATACCGGTTTGTCGAGAGTGAGTGAGGCGACCGCGCCTGCAGCCGGGCTAGGAGGAATGAACAGTCCAGGAGGGAACTTCTCCATCTTCGAACAGAGGAACATGTCGTCGAGATCGCGATGGAAGAAGGCTTCCACCGCAGGAGCGACCCTAGGGTTGGACGAAGGCAAGACAGGTCAGCAATCACCGCCACCAAGGGTATCATGAATGATGATCGTGCATCTCGTACATCTGAGGTCGCTCGAGAAGGATGCGCGCTATCTGCCAGGGAAGGCAGCATCTGGCGTAGTGGAACTCATGCGCCTTTGCCGGGTATCTGCAGCGGAAAGCAGAGGAGTAAGCGTTAGATCGACGACCCGTAGCGTGTTGGCTTCGAGAGGAGTCGCGTACTCTCTCACCTTGGCGTCGATTGCCTCCTGGACAGGTTTGTCTGCGAGAGTCTGTGTTCACATCACACAGTGAGACATGAGCCACCTACAAGACCCTGCGAGACTAGCCGCGAGAGGTACCCTGATCTTGGAGTTGAAGATGACGGCAAGGGTGACCGCAAGGTCGTCAAGCGACGATGGGATCTGTGTGAGTTCTGCCGGCGTACGGGGCAGGGGAATGATGTGTACGCTGCCTTTGTGAATCCAGATCTGAGGGGCACGAACCCTTCGATTAGACAGGTTTGCCGGCACTAGGCAGGAATGATGGGTGTGCGCCTACCCTGTTTTTGGTGGTCTCAGGCTTGATCCAGCGCGGAATGACCAGGGCAGCTTCGATAAGCAGGAACTGACCGTCGTTGTCTGTAACACTGCGTTGTAGGTGAGCATGTACGCCGCGAAGCTGTGATTATCAACGCAAGGGAAGTGCTCCGTACCTCGCAGCTAGGTCTGAATCGTGTCGAGACAGCTGGAAGAGGAGCCACACAATGAACCATTCGTCGTCGACGCTATCGCCGAACCGTGTGCGGCCCCACAGATGAGGCAGCTCTTGCGCTGCAATCAGAAGGAACAAAGGGATGATGAGCACATGCACTGGAGTGTGGTGGACAGGGGAGTGAGAAAGAGCTTCACCTCCTTTCTTCTGCATTGCCGCGTCAACACCTGGCCGATAGAGCTTGAGCTCGAAGGGCTCCTTCTGCCAGATGTAGTCCTTGGTCCACTGTTGCACGAGCTCATCGTACTCACGCTTCAACTTGTGCAGCACTTGAATTTGCTCATCTAGATCAACAGTTGGAAATCAGCCATCAAATTTTGTGCGGATGAAGGAGAGATCGGGCATCGGTACCGGCAGTTTGCTTTTGGAGCGCTTGATTCGAGAAGAGGTGGTACTCGACAAAGTCCTCCTGCCCACCGTCCGCCAATTGAGGCCATTCCATGCCTGCACCGCCGAATGCGTCCATCTCTCTCAAATGCAAATCTCGCGATGCGCTAGTACTCGCGTTTTGGCGCTCGAAAATAAAAGTTGAAGAAAATGCGTGGAATTTGAATGGCATGAAAAATGCGAGGAATGTCATTTTCTCATTTCCGCCGCGTTCCTTGCGGCGGTAAAAGGGCAGCAACATTGTCGACACCTAGGTCAACGGCTTGTGTTCGTCGCCGACTTGTTTGTCGCTTGTTGAAAGGGATCGAGGGTGGCTTCATCTCTCTTGGCTTCGAAGAGGACGATCGATTTCGAATCGGATTTGGCGTTGGAGGATCGCGATTGGCAGCCAAAAATCTGCAGCGTCCGATTTCTAATTACTCGCCCAATTCAAGCCGTTGGAGTGGATCATCTCCTTTGGTTCGGTACACATCCCAGTTTCCGTCTACCAATGCGCCGCTGTTCGCTGTTCCGCTCTTCCGCTCTTCCGTGTCCTCATTCAAATGCTTCAGATTTAATTACGCCATTAACCACAACTCGTTGTGCTGTCACCTTGATCGATCTCACATCCAACGACGATCCTTCCTTTCGATTCAATCATGCCATCTACAAAACAACCTGTTGTTGGGTTTGTGCACTCCACTCAACCATCATCTTCACCCACAGGAAAGGGTGTGAACGACAATGCGACGTGTGAACAGCCTCAACGACCTGGCCGAACGAGCAGCGATGCTTGCGCCCTTCGGGGACGCCACAACTGCGGCTGCGGCTTCGGCTTCGGTCTCGTCCCCGTCCTCCTCGGCCGCGTCAAGCCCCGTCCTCTATGCGCCCGGCCTGTCGCCCCTGGCCTCCCTGGCCTCCGCCTCATCCGCGATCGACCTTCTTCGCACAACCGCCACCACACAACAAGGTCTGTTGTATGTTGTGTGTCATGTGTTGTGTGTGTGTCTTGTGTGTGTCGTGTGCGTGCTCACCTGGCACTGGTGGTCCTAGTAGACATGTCGCCGGTCTCGGCCAGCAGGAGCAGCAGAGCGAGCCAGGCCGCCGTGACTTCCCCAGCGGAGACAAGGGACAAGAAGCGCAAGCGCGAAGCCACCGCACCGGCCGAGCACCACGCCCACCACCGCCATGTGGCCCTGCGGCCCTCGGTGCCCGCCAGCCCCTCGGCGGCCAAGCAGGCCCAGGCCCAGCGCGCGGTGCACCATGCCTCCAACGGTAACGGGCATGCTGTCGGTCACTCCGGCCACGGCCACGGCAAGCCGGCGACCAGCAACGGCGCGCCCCTGCACCGCAGTGATGGCGGCGCCGGTGCCGGCAGCATCAGCTCTATTCCACGATCGACCTCGGCGCCGTCTCTAGCGCACATGCCCTCGCCGGCCCCGCTGTCGCCGCGAATGAACCCGTCATCGTCATCGTCATCGGCTTCTTCATCGTCGCCGTCGCCGGTGCACTCGGCGCAGATATCGCCGAGCAGCATTCACCTGCGCGACTTCACGGACACCACGAAGCACCTCCTCACGGTGATGTGCGCCACGGCCGGCGGCGACGCTACCAAGGCGGCGCCCGGGTGGGCGAGCGAGCTGCGCCTGGGCTTTGGCGCCGTGGTGCAGCCCGTGGAGAAGGCCAGCGCCTACTGGTTCGCTGAGGTGCCGTCGGTCTACGAGGTGCTCAGCGCCACGGGCCTCTGGCAGCGCGCCTTCCTCATGGAGGTCCTCTGCCAGGAGCGACACCTGGTCGTCGACCGGACCCTCTACTGCGGCTACAAGCGCGTGAGCCAGGACAAGTTCACCTTCTACTTTGATTCAGGTGCCGTCGCCACATTCCTGGCATTCTCAGCACATTCCTGCATCTAACTCGCATTCCTGCGTGTCTCAGACTCGGAGACGCTCAGACAGCTCTACGCGCACGCCACGGCAGCGACGGCGGCCACGGCGGGACCCGCATCGCCCGCGTCGTTCCCCTTTGCCAGCGGCGGCGTCAGCGGCAGCGGCGGGTCGTCGGGCATACCGTTCCGGTTCTCGCCCGGCATGTCCCTCCCCGCACCCGCGGCCGCGACGGGCGCCAGCGGGGGGCCGCGATCGTACGCGACGTCGCCCGTCGTCATGACGTCGTCGACATCAAACGGCAGCACCGGCACTGGGCACCACCACCTGTCCACGTCATCACCGGCCTCCTCGTCATCGGCCTCTTCCGTGTCGACATTGTCGTCGGGCCGGCACCACGCATCGATTCCGCGCACGACCTCGCACCCCGCGCTGGCGTCGTTGGCCGCCGACGGGCCGCGCCTGGTCACGGTCGACCGACGACACAGCAGCAGCGAGAGCGAACAACACAACCACGGCGCTGGATGCTGCGTGAAGGAGGAAGACGAGGAGTCGGACGGCGACGGCGACGACGGCTTCTACCAGCTCAGGGCCGCCAACGCTAATGACGACTGCAGTACCGAAGAAGGTACAAACCTGAAAATCCGCGCCTATTTTTCCTAGACTAGGAGCTCGCTATTCACGCACGCACTACTACACAGGCGAGAGCTTTGAGCAGCCGCCGGCCAAGCTATTCTTGTTGACCGAGTACTGTTACTTCGACCCCACGGTCCTCAAGAAGCGCAGCATTCGCTGCATTCCGTGCAAGATGTCCCTTTCCAAAATGGTACGCGACACGACACGACCAACGACACAACGCACGAACACTCACACTGAGCGGTGCTTGTTGACAGGGATGGAAGCAACACATGTTGTCGACAGTCCACGTGGAGAAGAAGGCCAAGTTTAATGCGCGCGGTCAGTCGCCCCAGCAGACGGCCGAGCTCGTCTACCGCAGCGCGGGCGGCGGGCTCACCTGCCTCGCCTGCGCCGTGCTGCTGCCGCCGGGCGACTTTGATCGGCACGTGGCCGGCGCCATGCACGCCAAGAAGCGGAAGGAGTGGGCCATGCTCGACCACATCGAGCGGTGGTCCGACATACTCAGCAAGAAGCCGCGCTACAGCACCGCCACGCCGCTCAGCCCGACACTCACCGGCCCCGCGCTGGTGTCCAGCCCGACCACCACCATCAGCAGCAGCGTGGGGTCGAGCGGGGCCAACGCGGCCGCCGAGTTGCAGCGATCGACGCCGGCCGCGGCCGAGGGCCAGCTGGAGCAGGCGGGATCGGAGCAGCTGGCGGAGCTCTTCTACGTGGAGTGCTACCCGATGACGCCGGTCACGGGCTACACGCAGTGGGTGGCCCTCCACAGCACGCGCAACTGGGACGCCCGCAACTTTGAAGTCCTCATCACCAGCCGGTACGCGCGCGTTTCCCGCTCCTTACTTGATGTCACCGGCGCCTGACCGTGTCGTGTCGTGTGCGGTGAGCGCAGAGGAAAGCAGGATCGTCTGGTGGTGGAGCCCCTGTCGTGGAAGACTACCACCGCGCGTGGCTTCCTCTTCAACCTGGCCGTCAAGTTCGAGCGCACCTACGGACCCGACCCCGTCCAGCTCTGCCTCGTCATCCGTGATACCATGGTACGCGCGTGTGGGTCAGTGTGTGCGGTGTGGTGCGTGCTGTTGCTGACGTCACGCCAGGGTGCGAGTGCGCAGGGCCACGAGCAGGAGATTCAGATCCCGCTCGGGCGGGCCATCGTGTGCTCCAACTCGTCGCAGCGGCTCAAGCGGCTGCAGCAGCTGGGCGAGGAGTCGGCCCTCACCGACACCGAGCAGCGGGTCATCCCGCACTACACCCAATGCGCGCTGGTCCACAAGGGCCGCGAGCACCGCTACCGCGTCAAGCCCCTCTCTACGGTGCTGGCCGCCGCAGTCACCGCCACGACCGCCGCCACCGCCTCTGCCGCCACGGCCGCAGTCGCTCGGGCGCCGTCGCCCACGAGCCAGGCCCCGCTCCCGACTACCGTCCAGCGGGTGGTGGCGACTGCTCTCAAGCCTTTGGCCGCCTCGTCGCCGGCCAATCTGACGAGCTCGCTGCCGGCGCTGGCCGCCGCGCCCACATCGTCATCGTCGTCGTCATCATCGGCCACGTCGCTGCTGGCGTCGGCGCTCTCGGGGTCGAGCCTGTCACTGTACGCGCCACCAACCGCCACCGCCACCAGCGCCGCTGCCGCCACGCCGGAGGTGACGCCCTCCACGTCGGCGCTCCATCGACGTCCGCCGTCGCACCACCAGCAGCCCTTCGGGTCGCCTCAGCTGCTGCCGTCGCCCTCGCCAGCACCGCGGCCATCACTCATCGTCAAGACTTCCTCATGACCATCGTGCCGCGCGTGTGATTGTGTGCGTGTGCGGTGCGTGTGTCGAAGAAAAAGAAAAAGGGTTTCATTTTCATGCGCGCGTGCGTGTGCGGTGTCCGCCGAACACAACGCAAGCAACACCCGTCGTCGATCAGGCGTAGGCGATCTTCTTGAGGTTGGGGGACACCTTGAACTCGGGTTCGGTGTACTTCTTGACGTCGTCCACGGTGACGCCTTCGGCCACTTCGATCAGCGTCAGCCCGCTCCTGTCCACGTCGAACACCGCCTGCCAGCCAACGTTTTTCAAAAAGGGTGTCGTGTTAGCCAGGAGCACACGCGTCAGCTGACGACACAAGGTGGCGATGGTACCATTTCGGTGATGATGCGGTTCACGCAGCCCTGGGCGGTGAGCGGCAGGTTGCACCGGTTCAAGATCTTGGGCTTGCCGCTCTGGTGTTTTGGTGTTAAGTAATAATTATCATTATTATTAATAAAATAATGTATCTCAAATAAGATAATAAAAATATTTATTGGTTTTTAATATAAAAGATAAAAAAGTACCTTGTCCTTGTGCTCCATGGTGACGACCACGCGCGAGCCAGAGCAGGTGAGGTCCATCGCGCCTCCGGGACCCTTCACCATCTTGCCCTGCAGTTGATTGGAAGGGTCAGACGCGAGCACCGCGACAGAGAGCGGTGGCGGTGGTGGGTGCTCACGTACGGGGATGACCCAGTTGGCGAGGTCGCCGTTGGACGAGACCTGCATGCCGCCCAGGATGGTCAGGTTGACGTGCGCGCTGCACCACCACCCAACCAGGCCAGCCAAGCGTCAGTCCGCGGGTACCAGTTTATCCAGTTACGATAATAATAACAACAATGGTAAATAAATAAATAATAAATAATAAAATAAAAGGTGGCTGGTACCCGCGGATCATGGCGAAGGACTGGTCCGACGAGAAGATCGACGAGCCGGGGAGAGTGGTCACGGTCTCCTTGCCGGCGTTGATGAGGTCGGGGTCCTGGTTGCCCGGCTTGGGGAACGGACCCTACATGACATAATTACAACAATTTTTTTGAGTTATTTTTCTAATTGGCAAAGAAAGAATTAATTTGTTTTTTTGTTAAAATAAAATGCACGTGTGGAGCGGGTACCATGCCGAGGAGACCGTTCTCGGACTGGAGCTCGATGTGGATGCCCGAGCGGATGTAGTTCGAGGCCAGCGTGGGAATACCAATACCCAGGTTACAATACATTCCGTCCTATTGTTGTGATTTGTGTGTCATGTGTGTGATGTGTGTCGTGTCGTGTCGCAACGTTAGAAACCAGAGAGTGCGATGTGTGGCGAACGACGATGACGAGAGCGCAGGTCGTGTGGTGGCACCTGGAACTCGAGGGCAGCCCTGCGCGCGATTTTCTCGCGGGTGATGGCAGCCTCGTTCTTGGGCGCGTCGCCCTTGGCCGGCTGGCCCTTGTCCAGCGTCAATTTCTGCAATGCACGAGTGAGACCGAAGCCGTGCAGTGGTGCGCGTGCGGCAGTGCGTGTGCGGTGGTGCGTACCTCGATGCGCTTCTCGTAGCCGGTTCCCTTGATGAGCCTGTTGACGTAGATTCCGGGGAGGTGGATCTCGTCCGGGTGCAGGCTGCCGGCCTCGACGATCTCCTCAACCTCGGCAATGCAGATCTTGCCGGCCGTCGCCACGGGCGGGTTAAAGTTGCGGGCCGTATATCTGCGCGCGGAGTTTGTTAGTATATACAATATATAAACAAGATATATATATATACAATATATACAATATATACAATATTATGTGAACGACTGTGAGTGTGTGCGCACACGCGTGCGGTGGGTGAGGGGTGCACCTGAAGACGATGTTGCCGCGAGTGTCGGCCTTCCAGCCCTTGATGAGCGAGAAGTCGCCGGTGATGGCCTCCTCCATGATGAACTTGCGGCCGTTGAACTCGCGCACCTCGCGCGGCTTCGAGGCAATCGCCACCGAGCCGTCGGTGTTGTACTTGATCGGGAAGCCGCCCTCCTACACCACCGCACACGACACACGACACACGCGGCACACGACAAGACACGACACGGTGAGGCCGCAGTGGCACAACAGAGACTAGTGAGCGGCGTGGGGGAGGGCCGTACCTCGAGGAAAGTGCCGACGCCGGTGGGAGTGTAGAACGCGGGGATACCGGCGCCGCCGGCCCTGCATCGCTCGGCAAGGGTGCCCTGTGGAGTCGTGCGTCGCGCGGCACAGTCGCGGGTCAGACACCACTCGATGGGGCACGATCACACACACGCGCTTTCATAAATTTACCTGAGGGATCAGCTCGAGCTCGAGCTCGCCCGAAAGGTACTGCTTCTCGAAGATGGCGTTCTCGCCGACGTACGAGGAGATCATTCGCTTGATCTGGTGACACGACACACGACACACAACACGCACACAACACGACACGCACACGGTCAGGCGGCACGCGACACGGCCGGGGTGGGTGTTGGGTGGTACCTGGCGCGTCTGGAGGAGGAGGCCGAGGCCGAAGTCGTCAACGCCGCAGTTGTTGGAGACGACGGTGAGGTCCTTGACGCCGGTGGTGCGCAGCGCGCCGATCAGCTTCTCGGGGATGCCGCACAGGCCGAAGCCGCCGACCAGCCTATTTCAAGTAAAATAAATAATGCGAATTATAAATAAAAAATTAAAAGTGGAGGAATAAAATAAAAATTAAAAATAAAGTAATATTATTGAGCGTACAGCTTGGAGCCGTCCTTGACGTCCTTGACGGCCTCCTCGGCCGAGCCAACAATCTTGGAGCGGAGGAGGGAGGTGGTGTGGAAGCCACGCGAGCCCCTCGTCAAAACGATTCCTCTCATGGTCGACTGACGCATCGTGTGCCAAATGTCAAGCTTGTGCCTCGCCTGCCACGTGATCAAGAGCATGAGTCAATCGTCAAGTAGTCATACTACGCTGAAGTTGTCTGATTTTATCATCGATAACGGATTAATCCGGTATTGTAGATAAAAGATGTAAGCTGGCAGTGCGTGGAAGCGACGTGGGTCGTGACGTACCTGGAGAGATGGTGGATGTGCAGTGTTAGCAAAGAAACGAAGAACGAAGGCGAAGTGGGTGCGCCGACAATCGAGGAAGGGCAGAGCGAGCCCAGGCAAGTTGGGACGGCAAAACGCAAGGTGGGCATCTGGGACCAGTGGCATCTCAACAATCTCCGGCCATTTATGTATAAAATGCTTTAAATTCTTAACTAATCCCAAAACTGAATCCACGATATTGCTGGATAATGTTCCGCGCTACAAAATTTGATATTTTCTTTAGGTCGAGGAAAACTGTCAAGAAATTGTTTTCTTTGTATTGATCGGTTGCCAAGGGAAAGTCGCAATCAAACTCAGCCCAAGGTCCTTGGCGATGAGGTGGATCAAGCGAGCGGGACTGCGCAAACACTGTTGCCCGCTTGTCAAGCACACACGAAAGCACACACAGTTCTTCGCATCCCCAACGCAAGCAAAGATGGCGCTCTCCCTCTACATGCAGTACGACTCGGAATGGAGGCCGGCTTGCGACGTCTGCGAGAACGCGGATTGCATTCAGCTGATTGCCGACCTGCCCGGCATGGCGCGAGAGAGCGTGAAGGTGAGCATCGAGGACGGCCTGCTCGTCATCAGCGGCGAGCGACGACGATCCTCGATCGAAGGCCGGTATCACGCTGCCGAGCGAGGCCAGGGCAAATTCAAGCAGCTGCTCACCCTGCCCAAGGGCGACTCTGCAGCTCGACCGCCTCGACTACCAGCTCTCGGAGGGAGTGCTGCTGGTGACCATCCCCAAGAGGCAGTGAGCTGCTGCCGTGCACATTCAATCTCGAACCGAATCGAGATGTACAGACACTAAAGACGGAAACTGAAGATGGAGAGAAACACTTGTAATCACGAAGCCATCATGCACATACACAACATGTACCGAACTGTTACACAAAGAACAATGCCCCAACCCTGTTAATTATTATTTATTTATTTATTGATTGTTTTCTTATCATTTCCTGTAAACGTTGGGATTCCTGCCCAAACGGCAAGCAAACAATCTTCTTGACATCAGCGTAAGATAGACTGAGGGCCAAGGGGCAATGCGTGTTGGTGGTCAGAGGATTGCTGCGGGGAGAAACGCGGAACTATGCCGCCAGCCCGCCGGCTTATGGTTGGGGAGAACTGAGGCATCCGTGATGGGATGGAGCAGATGGACGTCTGCACCGCCCCCTCTCGGCCACGCGCGACCTGTGCTCGAACCGCTACTGCGCAGTAGAGGCTGCAGCCCTCGTTGGTTGGGTCGCTCCTTTGCTACACGCTCGGCACCGGCCTCATCTTCATCCTACGCTCGCAAATCTGCCGTCCCCTCATCATCATTCGCCTCCTCTGCGCGCCCCGTGGGCAGTGTAAGTGGCGGCGGTGCGCCGTTCGTGTCCTCCCACTTCTCCATCAGCGAAGATGAGATCACCCACTTCTTCAGCCGGAAGAGCCTCGTGTGGAAGCGGAGCGGCGAGGAGCTCGTCGTGCAGACGTGCCCCACCTGCCCCGACCACAAATACAAGATGGACAACCTCTTCAAGCTCTACATCAGCAAGCGCACCGGCCAGTTCTTCTGCCACCGCTGTGGCAACAAAGGTGTCGTATCCGTGGTGATGACACCTTGTTACCAATTCTCACCATCTCCTGACGCATACCACGTGTGTGTGTGTGTGTGGTGATGCGTGTGCGGTGCCATGGCATAGGTTCGTGGTTCGACTTCAAGAGGCTGTATGGCGAGATTCCGTACACTGCGCCCATGTCGGCACCCGTGCCGGCCTCGGGAGAGGTCGCGCACGACCACCAGCACCACCAGCACGCGCCAGCTCCGGGCCTGCAGGAAGAAAGAGAGAAACCGCTGCCAGACCACGTACGCGGCTTTCATCTCGAACGAATGCCCGAGTGGCAATCGCTCACGTCTGGGCCGTGTGTGTGTGTGTGCACCCCTCTCCTCCCTGGCAACGACCGCCCTGCAGGACGTTGTCTCCAAGTACCCCTTGGCCCTCTTCAACGAGTATCCGCAGGTCTTGACCTTTCTCACCGGCAACAAGACCAAAGTGCAGCGACACTTGGTAAGTCCATCGAACCATTCCCATTTGATACTCCTTTGCTTTCTCACCGACGTTCGTGTGTCGTGTGTGTCGTGTGTGTGATCGTGTGTGGTCGTGTGTCTCCTCAAGTCCGAGGAAGTGATTCGCAAATACAAGGTGGGAGCCACCAAGTACGCATTTGGCGGGGACTCGGAACAGTGCGTGACCTTTCCCTGGATCGACGCCGACGCCGAGGGCAGGAACTCCATCAGGTACCAAGAAGAAGGCCTTTGCGCTCGCACCTTGGCTCATCGCGCATCGTCTGACCCTCGACTCGCTGATGCTGATGCTGATGCTGATGCATCGTACTGTCCCGTGGGACTGGCTTTGCAGGCGATTGAAGATTCGGTCGATAAAGAACAAGGCCAACCAGCGATTAACCCCAGCCGGCGGGCAATGGGGGTTCTTCGGTTGGCACACGGTGCCCGCCGATGCCAAGGAGATCGTAATCACCGAGGGCGAGTTCGACGCCATGGCCGTCTATCAGGTGCCACACCCACCACAGCGAACGTCGCGCACCATCACGCCTCGATGTTATAATGAGAGCGCAGCCTTACTATGAGCGCTCGCCACAACAGGCCACAGGGCTGCCGGCCATTTCGCTGCCCAACGGAGCCCACTCGCTCCCCGTGGAGCTGCTGCCCCGACTCGAGCGGTACCCCCTTTGCAAGTTCTTATGTCTGCACCGCGTCGTCCTCCGCCAACACGCTGCTTGTTGTGTGTGTCGTGTGTGTGTTGTGTGTGTCGTGTGTGTCGTGTGTGTGTGTGGTTCGGCGACAGGTTCGAGAAGATATACCTCTGGATGGACGACGATATCCCGGGCCAGGAGGGCGCCGCCAAGTTCGCCCAGAAGCTGGGAATTAAGAGGTCCGTGGTGCACCACAGCCGCAGACACCTCTCTTTTCCCTCTCTTTTCCTCTCATTTTTTTTCTTTGGCCACCTCCAGGTGTCTGCTGGTGCGCACGAAGCAGGGCGACCCCGAAGGCCCGAAGGACGCCAACGACGCCCTTCGCGCGGGCAAGGTAAGGGAAGCGTTGTGCGCCTGTACGCCGCGGCCGTTGGTGACACCGGCCCAGTTCTCACGCTCAGCTGATTGATATCTCCATTCCACTCGCGCAGGACCTGAATGCGATATTGAAGAAGGCCGGCAGGACGCCGCACCAGCAGGTCATCTCGTTCCAGGACATCGCGGACGAGGTGTATCGCAACATCTGTTCGCCCGACGAGCTCGCCGGCGTGCCGTCGAAGATGTTCCCCTCCCTGACCAAGATATTGAAGGGTACGCGCGCCTCCAGTGCATCGCGATCTCATATCTTCTACGGTGCCCGTTCTGGCTCACGCTCACACGACACACACGACACACACACGACACGGTGCGCATTGTTGAACGACCAGGGCATCGCAAGGGCGAGTTGACGGTGTTCACCGGCCCGACCGGCGTGGGCAAGACCACGCTTCTCAGCCAGCTCTCCCTCGACTTCGCGATGCAAGGTATCTTAGGGACTCCTTTAGTCGGGGGGCGTGCGGGCGAGCTCCCTTCTCACTCCCCCCCTTTCAATTTGTTTTTTTGTTTCCGTGAGTCCAGGCGTGCGCACTCTCTGGGGCAACTTCGAAATCAAGAACACCTACCTCGCACAGAAGATGCTCCTCCAGTACGCCGGTACGTCCGTGTGTCGTGTGTGTCGTGTGTGTCGTGAGTGTGTCGTGAGCATGTCGTGTCGTGTCGTGTGTCGTCTGATCGTGCTGCTCGCTGGCAGGCAAGAATTTGGCCGAGCTGCAGGACAGAGCGCAGTGGGACGAGGCCTCGCGGGCCTTCTCCGACCTGCCCCTGTACTGGATGCGATTCCACGGGAGTACCAGCGTTGACCAGGTGCTCGACGCCATGGACTACGCCGTCTACGTACACGACGTCGAACACGTCGTCCTCGACAACCTACAGTTCATGCTCAGGTACCGCACACGCACACGCACACGCACACGCACACGCACACGCACACGCACACGCACACGCACACGCACACGCACACGCACACGCACACGCACACGCACACGCACACGCACACGCACCCGCACCCGCACCCGCACCCGCACCCGACGCTACACGCGCGCATAAGGCCGGCCTCATTGTTCGGGCCTCTCTGCAGTGGTCAGGCCTGGGGCCAAGAGGGCGTGGCCGCGGGCAACAAGTTCGACATCCAGGATCGCGCGCTCGAGGAGTTCCGACGGTTCGCCTCCACCAAGAACGTACACATCACCCTCGTCATCCACCCGAGGAAGACCGAAGACGATCGGCCGCTCAACGTCGCGTCCGTCTTTGGCAGCGTCAAAGGTACCTTGCGATTATCATCTTTTTCAACTTCTTCATCATCATCAGCACTTCCTTTGTTGTTAACGATCGTCATCTGTTGCGCTGCTTGGCTCGTTCGTTTGTGTGTCAATGCTGCAGCCACACAGGAGGCCGACAACGTGTTGATCCTGCAGTACAACAAGGGCGAGGACTGGAAGTGGCTCGAGGTCGCCAAGAATCGATTCGACGGCGAACTGGGGTACGTTTGCTTTGTTGTTTGCATGTTTGTAGTTTACGAAGCTGACGCGTCAATCCGTCGATGGATGGCGTTGCAACACGCTCAACAGGCCGATTGCGCTCCAGTTCAACAAGAGGAACAAGTCGTATCGCGAGATGCCCACCACGGGCCTGCTCAACAAGGCACGCAAGGGCGCCAGCAAGGGCGCATCCAACCAGCCAGACGACCCACAACCCGCCACCGCTTCCTCCTCCACCACCAGCACCACTCCCACCACCAAGGCTGGGTGAAACAAATAAATAAAACAAAGCAAAATTGATAATAATAATATCATTATTTGGTATTTTCTCTGCTGATTTATTTGCTTTACTTTATTTATAATACTGGGCAATTAATAAGTGCTGTGTTTTTTCTTGCAGCCTTCTTCACACCTCCGCCAAGAATGGTAACCAACAGCGAGCTGCTTTCGCTTCTTGTGGTGCTCTTCGCCCTCGTGTTCCCCTCCGAAGGCGCACAGGAGGCCTCCGGCATGTCCCTCTCCAGCCTCGCCCCGGCCCTCGACCTCGCCCTGTCGCAACACCACCACAACCCCGACCTCGCTCCCCGCCAGGCACCGCCGCCCGGTAGCCCGACCCACGTGGCCAACACCTTCCAGGGCGCGACCATCTGCGCTGAGTCCAAGTCGGGCTTCTCGCTGGACCAACTCGCCCGCGAGTTCCCCCAGTTCTACATCGAGCTTGGCACCTGGCTGGGCAACATCACCTGCTTCCAGCCCGGCCCGTCCGGCACGCCGGCGCTGGGGCTGGCCCCGGTACTCGCCGACGCGCGCTTCGAGCTCAACACCACCCTTGACGGGGCGCGCCTCTACTCGTGCTCGTCGCTCGGCGGCGCGCCGGCCTCGTGCCGCGTGTTCTACCCGCGGTTCGACGGGTCGGGCCAGTACTGCACCGTGGACCCGGTCGACGGCGGGCTCCCGCTGCAGAGGGTGGGCCAAGTGGTCAACTCGCGCATCTCGGTCGACTCGGCCTGGTCCAACGCGGGCGAGCTCGACTCGGCGGGCCTCAACTACTACGAACCGGCCAACGACGCCATCTCGGGCTTCTACGGCTCGTGGACTGGCCAGGAGGCCCCTGGCGGACCCACGACGGCCGTGGGCGGCAGGCCGCCAGCCCTGCAGTGCCTGTTCCGCGTGGCCCGCACCTGCCGCGGTCCTCTGTGCTTCTCTGCGCCCGAGCACTCAGGCTAACCCCAACCCTCCACTTGCGCCAAATAAAACAAAGTGCACCCTTTCAGGCTTGAGGGTAGAGGGGCTGCTTTAACTGCAACTGGTGAACGACCACCAGACAAAAAGGATACGGTGGATTCCCGGGTGGTCGCCCACCCCAGTACTAACACCGCCTGGCGCAGCTTAACTTCGCTGTTCGGATGGGAAGCGGTGCTTTCTGCGCAGTATGGCCGTATCCAACATTTGATGGATCCTGTCGCGGTCTGATGACCTCCCTTGCAGGAGTACAGGTGGCACACAATCAAGTCAACAATCGAATATGAGCGCTGCATATCCACAAGCATCAATAACTTTATTTGCTGCACTGTGAGCGGTGAAGTAACAGTTTAGTGCTTGTACTCATCCTTCTCACAGTGCTTCCTGGTCGTGGAGGTGGTCTCCTTGGGGCAGCCCTTGGTGGTCGAGGTGGTGTGCTTCCTGGTCGTGGAGGTGGTCTCCTTGGGGCACTCCTCAGTGGTCGTGGTGTGCTTCCTGGTCGTAGAGGTGGTCTCCTTCGGGGCAGTCCTTGGTGGTCGAGGTGGTGTGCTTCCTGGTCGTTGAGGTGGTGTGGCGGTTCTTCTTGTGACAAACCTTGACGCACTTCCAGTAGCACTGGCCCTCCTCCTTGTCATCATCATCCTCCTTGCAGTCCTGGTCCTTGTCATCCTCCCAGTCCCAGTCCTTGTTGTTGTTCTTGCTGCTGTGGTCTTCACCTGTTCAACCAATTAGAGTGCAGATGTTTAGTATCATCATCACACAGGAACCACCTTTGGTTGGGCGGGAGCACACCACCGTCATGGGCGAGAGCAAGGGCAAGCAAGCTCAGACAGACCAAGGCGAAGAGGATCATGTTGAGCTTCATTGTTGTTGTGGTTGTTGTGCGTTGATCTGTTGGATGTGGTGAGCCTGGGACCAGTTTTATAGCTGATCCAGCTTGCTCTTCCATTGGTTGCATGAAAAGATAAAGAACCGCTCCCCCATTGGAGTCAGCTTGGACTGTAAGCTTGTTGTGCTCTGTTTCACTGTTGTGGCCACCACGCGAAATTGCCACTCTCTCTTTCCTTTTTTGTTAATTTTGTCCTTTTATAGCGTGCTTGTTTATTCAGCCTAGACGGGATAGGGCGGCGTGCGCACGGCGTAGAGGGCCTCCAGGTCCTCCTCCTCGTCATCCAGCGGTTCCGGGCCGAACAAGCCCACGGGCGGCTTCCCCGGGAGAACTGTCACCTTGACCTCGCCTTCGCCTGTTGTCGTCGTCGCCATCTTCTTCTTCTTCTTCTTTGGAGTGGTCGTGGTCGTGGTCGTCACATCCTTCGCGGCGTACGTTGGCTCCTCGGCAGTCGGCCGCCTCGTCAGCTGCTCATCGACCAGTCTGGCCCCCGCCGGCTCCGCCTCCTTCATCGCAGGCGATGGCGGCGGTGACATGTCGACGGGGTCAGTGGCGGCCCGGGCGTGGTCGGGGCTGGGCTGGGTGTGAGGCCCGGCGCCGGGAGTGGTGGAGGTGGTGGCGGAGGTGACGAGGCTGTGCCGTCGCACGAGGTCGGCCTCGTGCGCCCGGCGGATGTTCATGCGCTGCTCGAGCCAGTCCTTGACGTGGGTGAAGAACCGCTGCACCTCCGGGTGGGGCATCACGTTGAAGAAGAACTGGAAGTCGTGGTTCATGTGGTGGCCCACATACAGCTCAGCCTCTGTTCGCCCACCCACACAACCCTCATCAGTCCAGTCTATCTTACAAGTGTGCGGTGTGTGCGGTGTGTGCGGTGTGTGACAGTGACGCACCAACGCCCTGTTCGACGGCCTTGTGGTGGATGGTGCGGATGTCCTCCCACAGGGGCTCCACGTCGCCGCCGGTGATGAGCAGCGGCGGCAGGCCCAGCAGGTCGCCGTAGACCGGCGAAATGTAGGGCGAGTAAATGCTCGTCTTGTTCCGCTCCTTCCCGCGCTCGTCCGACAGCTCCTCCTGCACGTCGCCTCGCCGCCGCCGCCTCTCCTCCTCCTCTTCCTCCATCGTCTGCCCGCGCCATCGCTCGGCGTCGCCGTTGCCGCCGGCGCTCGTGCCGACGCCGCGGTCGGCTGCGGCGGAAGCGTGGAGATCGGTGCGCGATCGCTCGCGCTCGGCGGCGTGCTCCTCGTCGCGCAGGGAGGCGAGCGACTCGTGCCGGCGGCGCGCCTGGCGGCGCTCGTCGCGGTCGACCTGCCGCAGGCGCAGCTCCTCGTAGAGGATCTGCTTGAGGTACTTGCGCTCCCACCGCTTCTTCACCCACTTGAGACGCACGCGGTCCTTCTCGCGCGTGGCGTGCCTCTCCTGAGACTGCGCGCGCAGGCCGCCCCGGAGCGGCCGGCGCAGCTGGCGCTCCTTCTTCTTGGTGAAGGGATAGTCCGACGGCTGCAGGTTGAGGTAGCCCTGCACGAAGCGCAGGCCGATGTGGTACGGCCGGAACTTCTCGGGCTGCGGGTACGACCTATACAGAAACACCGAACTGTGCTCACTGTGTGTCGTGTCGTGTCGTGTCGTGTCAGTGAATTAAGCAGTCGACGGACGATGGTACGGCGGGGAACGAACCTGAGGTCGACCCAGGGAGAGAGGAGGACGGCGGCGAGGGGCGTGGGCGGGAAGACGTCGCGTTCGTCGTCGGCGAGCTCGAAGGGCAGCTGGTGCTTGCTCATGAACTTGTCGTCGGAGGCGAGCGTGCGCCGCTCCCACGCGCGGTGCTGGCTCTCTGTCATGTCGCTCGCCGGCCACCGCTGCTCGCTGGTCTTGTCGGCCTCGGCCGCGTCGTCGTCTCCGGAATCGCCGCTTTCTTTGGATTTTTGCTGCTGTCGGCGCGTCTGGAGCACCTTCTCCACGGCCTCGCTCGTGACCACCTCCTCGCGCTCGCGCTCCTTCTCGATCCACCGCTCAACCGGCCCCTTCTCCCACTCCCTCTGCTGCTGATGTTGCTGATTGTCGACACTGCGCGTCGTGAAAGAGCCGCCTCCGCTGGCGCTGAGGCTGAGGCGGCGCTCGCGGTGCTTCTGAAGCTCGCTGCGCTCCTTCTCGAGGCGCACCTGACGGATCACGTAGAGCAGCGACAGCGTCAGGTTGCCGCCCGCGCTGTCGCCCGCAAGAATCAAACGGTCCGCAGGAATGCCGCCACCCTAACAACACACAATGAGTGTCGACAGCTCGTGTCGTATCGTGTGTCGTGTCGTGTGTCGTGTCGTGTCGTGTCGTGTCGTGTGTCGTGTCGTGTCGTGTCGTGAGGTGGGCACCTTGGGGTTGAGAATCCAGAGGTAGGCTTTCCAGCATTGCTGGAGGGCCACGGGGAAGGTGACCTCGGGCGACAGCGTGTAGTCGGGGAGGAAGAACTGCATCCCGCCCAGCAGCTTGCTCAGCTTCCAACACCACGCCCTGTACGACGGCACCGTCCCTACATTCAACCTCTAATCAGCACACGCACACGCACCACCGCACACGCACACGACCAACGACACAACACACGTTAAACGAACCGATGCAGAAGCCGCCGCCGTGGAGAAACATGATGGTGGGCTTGTTGCGGAAGTAGGGCGACTCCTCGGGCAGCTCGGCGCCCTCCTTCTCGTGGCGGGCCTTGAGGCGCTCGTACTCCTCCTCGCGCTTCCGGATCTCGCGCGCCTCACGCTTGGGCACCCAGCACACGAACTCGCCGCGCAGGCCGCACGGCAGCGTGACCTTGCGCAGGTAGGAGTCCTTGGGCGTGCGCGGTACCGGGTACAAATTCCTGACATTCCATCGCACTCACCACCGTTAAGCCAGAGCCGCCACTGCACAAAGTGCGTCGAACAACAGTACCTGAGGTCTTCCCAGCTCAGCAGGTAGTGGTGGTCGGCCACTTTCATCACGGACCGGTAATACACCTCTGGTTTGGTTCCCAACAGGGTCAGTTGCGACCGACACGACACGACACGACACGCGCCGCACCGCACGCAGGTCATATTCCTTAGCATTCCACACATAGCTGAGTGGTAAAGGTACCGAGGCGCTTGGTGTAGGACGGGTAGATGGGTCCCCGCTTGAAGCGTCGGGGCAGGAGGAAGAGGGATTTGACGGCGCACGAGGCCAGCAGGGCGTTCTTGCGAAAGTAGAACGGTTTGGGCTTCCGCTTGTACTGCGCCTCCATCGCCGCTCGCGCCCGGTCCTTCTCGTCACCTGCGCTGTTCGCCGCGACTTCCTTCTTCTTCACCTTCTTGTGTTTGCCAAACCGCATTCTTTCTTTCGTGTGGGTTTGTTTTGTGTTGGTGTTGCTAATTCTTCTTCAAGTGTTGGTGGTTCAGCTGATGGTCTTCTTCTTCTTCTTGAGGGCTATGCTTGCTTTCTTTGAGTTCTGTTCACTTCGACCGGTGAAGAGCCCTCTAAAGCAAGCGATCCACAGAATATTTAGGCGAAATTTGGCGTGAAATGCTAAATCGCTGAGTTAATCTCGTGTGTTGCGGGCGCCTTCTCCGATGAGGGTGACGCACTAGTGAGGTGAGGTGAGGTGTCTCGGGGAGTTGATCCCATCAACAATTGAATTCCTAATTTCTGGTAGCTCTATTTTGAAATTTAAACGCCCGCCACGCAACCGCACACGCACGCACAAACGAACACGTAAAAAGATGGTATGTACAGGAGAGACAGGCTAGAAGAACATGAGGCCAACGGACGTCAGTACGTTGCCGACGAAGAGCGCGGCGGTGCCTGTGGAAAGGACCCGGAGGATGAGGTCGCGCGTGCGCGGGGCCAGCGAGGGGAAGAAGAGGGAGAGGATGGCGGTGGCGGCCCATTGGCCGTCGAGCCACTGGATGGGGGCCATGTTGATCACCGCCAGGCCGCCCGAAAGCGAAGCCGTGTATCTGCTCCCCTACCGTCAGGGCTGCCGCCAAAACGACACATACGACACAAAAGACACACACAGACACTCACGGCACACGACGCACGGCACGACACGCACGGCACACAGTACCGTAGGGTCTTTTCGATCATGGAAGGGAAAGAGGTGGGGAGCATGGGAGAACGGGGCACGTAGTCGCTCACCATCACTACCGGCACATTCGGGTGAGAGGCGAGCAAGAGAGTGAAAAAGGGAAAGAAAAGAAAGAAAAGAGAAGAAAAAGGAGTCAGACGTACGGGAGTACCAGAGGGCGTGCGGGTGGCCGTAGAAGAGCAGAAAGGAGGAGTCGTGCAAGGTGAGCTTGATCACGGCGTGATGCTCCTCTGTGACCGGGCGGGCGCACACGAAGCCGGACGCTGAAAAAAAAAAAAAACGGCCGCACGCATGAATCACATCGTAGAGAGTCACCGCACACACCGCAACACACGGCACACACTCGGCGAGTGTTGAAGCAGGGACGTACTCTCGGATTGGCACCGCTCGTCCTCGGAACAGAAGGCGTTGGTTGCCATCTGCCTCGGAATGCTGCACAACTGGCGCGCCGCCGCCGCGGGCGAGGAAGAAGCGCCCAACGGGTCCCCCAGGGTGAAGCACATCTCGTTGCTGCTCCGGCCATCGTCGGCGTCTGGTGTTGGCTCGACGCCGCCGTCGCTTTGGTCAGCATCGCCACAGCACGCGGTGCCGTGGGTGCGGATTAGGCGTGACGCCAGCGAGTCACTGCAAACCGTCCACAGCCCGGGTCAGTTGATGGTCTTCCCACTCACAAGCGTGTGAGCCGAGTGTGGAGGAGGTGCCTGAGACAGAAGCCCGAGTTGAGGCCGGTGGCCTTGTCGGGGTACATCAAGCTGGCGGACCAGCGATTGAGACAGTCGGCCCAGTCGTGGAGTCCGTTCACGCGACACTCGCCAATGGCCACCACTCTGTGCCCATACTCCACATGACCGAAAAAGGGAGAATCCTACTTGCACGAACACGGCACACACACACGTTAGAGGCGCAATGTCCGGGTCTGTACAGTTTTCGTCGGGTCTACCTCGGGTACGTGGGTGATGAGCACGCCGTGGCCGGTGCTGTACAGCGGCGACAGCAGGAATGGAAGGGTCCATATCAACAGCACGCACGCAACCGAGAGGGCGATGTTGTGCCAGGCCCCTGTCCCATCAGATTACATCAGAAAACAAGAACGTGAGTTCAGCGCAAAGCCGAGAGAATGCAATGAGTGCAATGGGATGGCACACCCGCGCAATAGATCTTGAGGAGCTTGCCGGGAGAGAGGTGCTGTAGGCTGTCCTCGGGGAGATCGACAAACGCGCCCGGATAGAGCACCACCAGAAAGGCCCCGAATCCATTCACCTGCATGTTCTCGCTGCACACGACCCAGCGTGAACAACGCTCACACCAATCAGATCGGTGTTGACGACGCCGTTGTTCCATAACTCCCCTTTGTTGTGGTAGGCGGTGTTGCGGCACCTGGTGGCTGCCAAGGCGTGGCCGATCTCGTGTATAACGCCAGCCACGGCCAGCGCGATCATATAATAGGCCAAGTGCGACGAGGGCACATTCACGCCGGGCACCTGCACGCGCACAGACACATAGGTTTCAGTGATGGTCCACTTCTGGAGGAGAACAGGTTCGTTGCGGCCCTGTACCACTGGCGTGAGCACGGCGGGCTGGTCGGGCTGCTTTAGCGTCCAGTAGAGATTGAGGGCCAACAGGAGGACCGAACACACCATGGCCGCGAACCCAAATACGGCGCCCAGCGCGTACCTGCGCAGCACACCGATGATGGCACTGTGAGTTGCGCAGAACGCACGCGCGCACACACGCACACACACGCACACACACGCACACACGCACAACGGTCGGGAGCGGAGTGCGCGTACCACTGCCTGAGGAAGGTCGGGTAGTTGCGACCCATGCGGGTGAACCACGGGTTGAGCGCCCGTGAGTACCACCGCACATAGCCTGGTCGCAGGTCCACTCCCGCTCTCGCCAGCCACTCCCCCACGCGCCCGCCTGGGCAACAGTCAGCCGAATCAATATCATTTCATTTCCATTTTATTGTAATTCAAGGTGCAATCTTATTTTAATCAATTAATCAAAATCTGGATTCGAGAGGAAGGAACCGAATTGGGCGTCGAGGAACTTGAGGCAGGCGAAGAAGGCGACCCACAGGAGGAGGACGGACCCCACCACCGACCCAAAGACCCCCCACATACTCCTCCACGTCGTGTGGCTGCCACGTCGCCGAAGGGTATTTTATAATTTGAGAAAAGGAACAATAAAATGGCAAAGGCGCGGCGCCACGTCGCAATGCCACCTGTTGGCCTTGTCGAGTACAATGGCTCGCTGCGCTACCTCTACTCACCACTCGAGGGTGTTCTTCTCCACCGCCGACTGGCTGGAATAGAATTGGGCATACCACCTGTATGCGTTTGGATGATTGTGGGATATGAGGAACCGAGCACGCAGTGTTGTCCCACAGGGAGGCGTACCTGCGCAGTCTCTGTACGGGGCCGTCCTCCTTGACCAGGATGGGCTTCAGCTGCCACACCTTGTTCTCCCAGATGGAGATGTCGTTCTTCCATTGCGCTATCCAGTTACCCACCACGTACCACACCAGAATCCTGCCCAAGCAGACCGAGGCACAGTCAGAGGTCGTTCCATAGCTGGTCGTGTCGTGTCGTTGGTCGTGTCGTGTCGTGTCGTGTCGTGTCGTGTCGTGTCGTGTCGTGTCGTGCGTGCGGTTTACAACCTGGGGATGCTCTTGTCCGCCCAATAGCGGAACTCGACCTTCTGCAGTAGCGGCTCGAGGGGCGTGTGCGTGTGGAACAGTAGAATCTCTCCGAGCTCGGTCTCAAAGCGAAAGTAGCAGATGCTCGCTGCCCATTTCGAGGTTAGTTTTATTATAGATTGTTGCTTTGCCGCCAAAACAAAGAAGAGGGTGCGTACCGGGTCCAACAAACGAGACGGTGCCCTTCGCGTCTGTTCGAGGGAGGTCTCGACCGCAGAACTGGAGGTGGGCCTTGTCCAGGAAGTACGCAATGTGCGATTCATCGCCTTTGCCTGGAATCCAATCTGGATGGGAGGCGCATACATAGCGAGTGGGCAGTCGGTTGACCACGGGTTGCGAGTTGTATGCAAGATACTACGAGAGGGTACCAGCTTCGTGGATGATGCGCATGCCGGGAATGGGGATGAGGGTGAAGGGGAGGCACATTTGGCCGTGCAGGGGATCAAAGTGCTGGAAGTCGGCGCTGTTCTCAGCGAATTCCTGGTGGGCACAAGATAAGAGTGGTGTGGTGTTGCGGGAAGCGAACAAAGGACGAAGCTGCATACCTGAATATGCATCTTGACGAGGGCATCATACTTGCCTCGGTACACGAACTTGCCCTCGTCGATCTCCTTGATACGGGGAGGCACGTAGGGCGGGTTCCGGCCCTCTGTGTAGATAGGAGTGGTTAGTGCTCTTCTGAGGGGGCACGGCAGCCAGAGAGCGATGAGTGATCTCTGGGCGGAGCGCGCACCCGCATCATACCAGACGCACACAAGCTTGTGGTACTCCAACACCTGCCACGAGCGCGCCTTGGCGAACCTGACGAAGCGGTCAGCGGGCTTACTACCAGTCAATAAAATGAAGCACAGGCATCCGCTAAAGGAGGGCCGTAGGTACTCGGGCGCCTTCTTCGAGTAGGGTATGTGGGTGCACTTGCCCTCGCCATTGAAGGTCCACCTGACAGAGAGATCTCTGCCGTGAGCTCGACATCGCACACGCACGACGCGCACGTAGAAACGCACAGACAAGAAGTGAAAAACTTACTTGTGGAAGGGGCACTCGATGCAGTCGCCCACCACTTTGCTGCCGACGCCCAGGTCGGCGCCCATGTGCGGGCAGTACGCGTCCAGCACCTTGGCTTCGCCGCTCTCCGTGCGGAACAGGACCAAGTGCTGCCCCAGGCACTCCAGACGCTTCACCCCCTTGGCCGGTAGGTCGTCTGAGTCGCACAGCTTGTACCTGGTGGTGATGACGGTGTTTTTTAGCACCACCTCCCGTAATACAAATAGGGTGACAGATACCAGCCGTTGGGGAAGGTGGGCGGGTAGTCCTTGGCGCGTGCGCGCTTCGTGGAGCGTGCGGCAGCGAGGGCCTCCATGGGGTGGGGGCGGGTGCTACCCCACACGCGGTGGGCGATAAGGCCCAGCACAAAGGCCAACAGCACCACCCCTGCGGTGGTCGGTGAGGGGGTGGCGGAGTAGGCGTAGAGGACGGCGCACAGCACCACGAGACTCGCCACCATGACCGACATGGCGTGCTTCAGAAGGGAAGTGAGAGAGCAGGGCAGGCCGGTGGAGTGGGCACAGCTTATGGTCAGTTTTTTTGTAACCTAAATGCGTACAAAAAGGAGCTGGGATTTTATATCTCAAAAGCAATATTCAAGAAAAAATCGTATTGGAGGAAAATGGCGAGCGGCCAGCCACAGGAGTGAGGGAGGGTAGAAGAGACCCAAGGCACATTGACTCTGTCCAACCCCTAAGCACAACAAGGCAATGCCTGGTCCTCCACTGGCCTAGCTGGTGGGTTTTTGGATAATATGAGGAGGATCGTGTTTCTCTCCATATCTGTCACTTGGCGCTGGAAAGGAAAAAGGAGAAAATCGAAGAGAAAAGATGCGAGCACGGCACAAAAAAAAAGACAAGCAACGCGGCTGAGGGAGAACGTAGAAGTTGCCGAGCAGCTGCGAACAACCAAGAACGTGCAGGCCGTTGATTGCCGTTTACAACCCGCTAACGACGCAGGCGGCATCCGCGAACACGGTGCACGACTAGCGCAGACAGCAAGTGAAGATGAATCTTTTCAAGGTGGCTCGAAATGCTGTCTCAAAGGATAAATTTCGCTTCCAAGATGGTGCCCTGTTCTGCCTTCAACCCTTGCAGCATGTTGGCGCATTAGCAATTGCCGACCTGCTTCCGTGATTATTTACCAATTCCTTCTCACATTTTTTGTGCAGGCTGGTTCGATCTGGATTTGACGTATATCACCAGCCGAATCATTGCCATGGTACTTGGCGCATGGCGTCTTCGTCTCCCTTTTTTCTCTAGTTTTTTTAAATGTTTTTATTTACCAATGTACAGGGCATCCCAGGCCAAAAGATGGACAAGATCTGGCGTAATGATGGCGATGGTAAGTTGCATCCTCCTTCCACCACCGGCTGTTGTTGTGGGCACACAAAGCCGAATGCTCAAGAGCTACTGCTTGTGCCTACTTGCAGACGTGGCCACCTTCCTGTGGTTCTATCACGCCAAGCACTTCATGGTCTTCAACCTGAGCGGTGAGGAGTACGACTATGCCAAGTTTGACAACAGGGTAAGCGCAAACTCCTTCTCACTCCATGACTGGTGTGTAGTAGACTCTAAGATCATCTCTTTCACGTGCAGGTGCTCGACTTTGGCTTCCCCGACCACAGCGCGTGTCCGTTGGCCCTCCTCTTCCAGATCGTGGAGGCCATGAAGAAGTGGCTGAGCGAAGACGAGGAGAACGTGGCCGTCGTTCATTGCTTGGCTGGTACCCACGCACCCAGCACCAAACCGCCATTCGCTGTTGGCCTCCGAAGCTCAAAATCATCAATTGGTCAGGTAGGGGAAGGACTGGCATGGTCATCAGCACATATCTGCTTAGAGAGGGCTTCTTTAGAGATGCCAAGGTAAGCACTTCATCTCTTCTTCTTTCTTTCTTCCTCTTCTCCCCCGGTGAACCTGACCACTCTCGTGTCTTATGCGGTGTCCAGGCGGCGCTTAAATTCTTTGCAGAGGCGCGATCGGCCACGGCCGCCGGAGTGCTGACACCCTCGCAGATCCGCTATGCCCACTACGCCAACGAGATCTACAGGTAAGCTCGCAAGCAAGCCCTTGCGAGGCCTGAACATGGCAACCACGCGCTCGCTCAAAACTCTCACCTTTGCTGCGCAGAGGTCGGATAGACCCTCCCTTTGCCAAGGAACGACCACTCGTCTTGAAGAAGATCGTCATCAGCCCCTTCCCCGTCATCCCTGACGCAGGTGCGCTTTCCTCTCGCTGCCCTCTCGAGCTCGAGCGGTGTCGGTCATTTTAGTCAGCTGACCTTTCACTCCGTCGCTCGCTGTTCGATCTCAGACGACGTGCAGCGGATGGGCGGCTGGGAGCCGGTGATCAAGGTGCTCACGCTGCAGGGTCACCACAAGGAGAAGAACAACGAGCGCCTCCTCTATTCTTCGGACTACCACCCGACCAAGCTCTACTACAGCAAACCGGGGAACATCCGAGTTGTGAGGTACACCACAGGTGGCACCGAATCCTGTGCGATGCGCCCGTTCTCAGGCTGTGTTGTGTTGCGGCCACAAGGGAGGTGGACAACGGGACGGTGAACCAGGAGAAGGAGCGGATACGCAGCAAGCTGAAGCAAAGAGAGAAGATCGTGGTCGACATTACCAAGGGCTGCTTCGTGCGGGGCGACATCCAGCTCAAGTTCTTCCACCAGGCCAGCAGCCGCATCAGCTTCGCGCGCATCCTCAAGAGCGGCTACCTCAAGCCGGTCGAGGTCCTTTCTACCGCCCTGTCCAAGAAGTACCCCTACATCTGCCTGTTCCGGCTCTCCTTCCACACGTCGTTCGTCGGGCGACAGCTCAACGAGATCATCGCCAAGCAGCAGCGCGAAAGCGGCGGCGGGGCCGTGACGACCGAGAGCATGGGTGAATCCTACGACGGCGGCAACGGCACCGTGTCGTGGACCCTGCGCAAGGAGGAGCTCGACGCCATGTTCTCCGGCCCGGCCCACACCAAGATGCTTCCAGACGACTTTGCGATCAAGCTCGTCTTTGGCTACCCTGACGCCTCAGATGATACGCCCGGACTCCGTTCTTCGACATCGCCCGCCTCTTCTTCTTCCTCCTCACCATCGTCGTCGCCATCTTCATCAGCGAATGCTTCGTCGATGCGTGGCTCGGGTGGATCGCGATCGACGCCCAACCTGCCGCCGCTCCCGGCGCTGCCCTCTGTTGACGGGGCCACGTCGGCCGTGGCCTCCCTCGCCCTGTCGCCGCGCGGCCCCGAACAGCGGGAGAAGCTGGCCCAGCGCCGCACGGGTGACGGCCGCCCGAACGCCCGAGCTACCGTCAATTTCTCCGGCGGCGGCAAGTACAAGGAGGCCGAGCACCAGCCACCGTCCTCGCGAGGCCAGCGCGGCACCATCTCCTATTCCTCCATCAAGCGGCATGCCACAGGACCCCTTCAGGTTCGTTCGCGCCCCCCGGGCACTTGTCGCTCATTGAGTTCATTCATCGGCTGACCTTGTCCGGTTGGTGGTTCTGCATATGATCACAGAATGAAAGAAAGGCGCAGGAGCGGTCGATCGATTTTGAGGACATCTTCTTGAAGACGCCTACTCCGTCTTCTACGGCTTCGTCGCGGGACCACTCCGAGCAACGCATATCTGAATCGACCGAGCCCACGTTCCCACCGGCCTCGGCGATGCGCCGCCGCAGCTCTCTGCCGTCCAACTCGGCGCAGCATGCCGCCGACGCTGCAGCTGAGACGGCCGCCGTGCATAAAAAATCGGTCACCCCGTCGCCCCCGAGGCCCAACCCTTCCGCCAGGCCCGACGCGCCCACCCAGACGCGCGGCTCTTGGCAGCCACCGGCCGAGCGTGATGTGAGCCCGACGCATCGCGTCGAAATCATGACTTCCACGCCAGCACTCACGAGTTCTCTCCACTCGCCGCTCCGCCCCACGCCACCGTCTTCCTCCTCCTCCTCCTCCTTCTCCTCGTTGCCGCAGTTCTCTACCTCCCCGCCGGCCTCGATGACGCCACCCGGCTCAGGAGGGTCCATGTCGAGCAACGGGCAGGCCACGGCCTACGCCTATCCGCCATCGGCCATTGCCGCAGCTGCGGCCAGCCACAACCGACAGTCGCTGCTCCAGTCCTACCCGTCGACGCACCCCGTCCTCACCCCGACGCCCGCCGGCCTCGTGGCGCCCGTCTCCGCTCCGGCCCACACCGCGGTGCCCTCGCCGGCCCACACCGCGGTGCTCACGCCTACGCCATCGCTCCCGGCCATGGGCGGAGGCGGCCCCCCGCCGACCCACCCCCACTCCGCCCCCGCGCAATTCGTTGCTGGCGCCGGTGACGGCAGCGGCAGCGCCCAGCTTCACATGCCGCTCACGCCCGTGTCTGTCCGGCCTGGCGCCAGCAACCCGCCGCAGCCGCAGCCGCTCAACAACTCATCGGGCGTGTCACCGGTGCGCGCGAGCATGGCCGTGGGCCATGGCCACGTCCCGCTTCAGCCCACGCCCGCTACGCTCGGCAACGGCAGCGGAAACAGCCATGGCAATGGCAATGTCGGCCAGCTCCCGTCCTACGCTCATCACCCCCAGCAGCCGCAGCCGCAGCACCAGCAGCACTTCTTCGCGCTGCATGCGCCGCTGCAGCCGGTGCCGGTCCTGCATCAGGACTTCACCAGTCGGCTGCCGCCCGTCCGCTTTCCGCCGGCGTCATCGGCACAGGCCATCGACGAGGCCCAGCGCGAGCGCATCCGACAGCAGATCATCGCTGAGCGGCAGCGCGCGCTCTATCCGCAGCAGCCGCAGACGCAGCCGTCACAAACGCAATCGCAGCCTCAATACCACCAACCACTGCAGCCCGAGAGAGCCCGGGACCAGAGCAACGCCAACGCCGCCAACACCATCAACATGGAGAGGCGGAGGCAGCAGGAGGACGAGCGGACGCGGCGAGACAGCTGGGAACGCGAACGAGCGGCCGCGGCGGACAGGGGCCGGGGCCGGGGCGGAGATGATGGAGGAGACGATCGCGATGACCGACGAGATCGAGGAGGAGGTGGACGAGGAGGAGACGGTCGAGGAGGTGGAAGAGGAGGAGGCGATGGGCGGCCGCGAGGCGGGGCGAGAGGCGGCGGCGGCGGATCAGGAAATGGGGGTCGGGGAGGACAACCACCTGCGGCCAGTCCGCGACGCACCTATCACATCTCCGAGATGTTGTGAAGATGATGACTTCATTCAAAAAAGTCAACATTAAGCTCGAGCAGCTGCAGGTGCTGTTGTCAACAGTGTCCTTCCTTCTCCATCGGCTTCTCCCTCTTCTTCACCACCCAACAGCTCCATTTGACTCTCCTGTTGCCGCTCCCATGCACCACCACCAGGTTCGCCGCAGGCCAAGTGAAGACGGCCGAGTGTGTGTGTAACGCGGGGCACCAACCAACGAAAGCACCTCGTGTGTGCCTCTGGCACAAAAAAAGTCGTTTCTCCCATCACACGCCGAGCTTGGCGAGCCGCTCCTCCACTGCGGCGAGCCTGTCGGCCATCCGTCGCCTCTCGCGCCTCTCGTCGAGCACCAGCCGCCTGAGCTGCTCGAACGTCGTCGCCAGCTGGCTCTCGTCCTCATCGCCCGCCGCCTGCTGCTGTTGCAGGGCCTCCACCTCCTGCCGCAGCTCCTGATGACCCTCCGCCCCAGTCACCACCGTAACAGGCGCGGCCGGCACCACTCTGCGTGGTACGTTTGACGGTGGCGTCATCGTCGGCACCGACGACGCACGTTGCACGTAGGCGCCGCCCGACGTCGTAGCGCCGCTGCTGCCGGCGGTGGGGCGAGAGTAGACCAGTGGCGGGGGGAGTGATGAGCCCGCGCCCGGCGTCGCTGTTGCTGCGGCCTCGCCGGCGGTGCCGACGCTGACCTTGCGGAGCGGCGGAATGGTCGACGGGATGAGGGTGGGCACGGGCGCAGCGCGTGGCTGCTGGCTGCTGTTGCTGATCCCTCCGGCGGTGGTGGGGGGCGGCGGCAGGGTGCGGTTGAGGTTCGCACTGCGGCCGACGCGGCTGGCCACAGGATGAGGAGGCTCGCGCCTGCGCTGCTCCTGCTGGGCCGCGTACTCGCTCTCGCGCAGCCGCATCTCCTCTTCCTCGCGCGCTCGTCTCTCCCGCTCCTTGGCTCGTGGGTCATCGGCGGTGAGCTGTTGCCGCTCGCGCTCCTCCTTCTCCCTGCGCTCGCGCTCTTCGTTCTCCCGGGCCTCCTTCTCGATCCGCTCGCGCTCCCTCTCGGCCTTCTCCGCGGCTTCGCGCTTCTCCCGGGCCTCCTTCTCGACGCGCTCGCGCTCGGCCCTCTCCCGCGCCTCCTGCTCGACGCGCTCGCGCTCGGCCGTGTCCCGGGCCTCCTTTTCAAGGCGCTCGCGCTCTTCCTTCTCCCGGGCCTCCCTCGCCGCGCGCTCCCGAACGGCCTCGAGTGCTCTGGCCCGCTCCTGCTCCTCCTGCTCCTCCTGCTCCTTCTCGACCCGGAGGCGCTCGATCCCCTCGGCCTCGGCCTTCGCCACCCTCTCGCGCTCGGCGGCCGCCACTCGCTCGAGCTCCTCCTCGGCCTCGCTGTACTGCAGGAACAGGTCGTTCGTCTGGCTGTAAAAGCTATCGACCACGGCTGGTGGCACGACGTGGCTTACGTGACTGCCGTGATGATGGTGGGGGTGGTGGTGGTTGGTTGTTGTTGGCGACGACCTGTTCCAGTCCTACTGCTGCGGTTGCGGTTGCGGCGGCCTCAAGATGGACATAGTTCTTGGGCACGCGCCCGACCTTTCCGTGCAGCTCGCCTCGGTACCAATTCACCGAGAGGTCCTCGACCAGCTTCACCCGATCCCCCTTCGTGAAACTGGACAAACCGCACCACCGCACACAAGGACTGGTTAACAACGCACAGCATGGCCAACACCAAAGCCACGACAGAACTAACAGCACGACATGCAACTGAGGATATGCACCTGAGCTCGTCATCATTCCTGGCTGCGTAGTGATACATGGCCACCAGCCATGTCTGGCTGGCAGTCATGGCTGAAGCTTCTGGTACAGGGGCAGGAGAGTGAGACATTGCAATGTGCTTACAACCGCATTTGGGGGGCAGATCATACTATCGGCTTCGAAGGGGAGGGTTTGTCGTGTGGCCCGCGATGGGGGCGCAGGCACAGCCCTGTTGGGGATCGGACCGTGCGACGCTGCGCGCTGGAGTTGGTGTACGGCTGCTTGGGCGGCTCCGGTTGCAGCAGCAGGAGCGACGGAAGCCGGCGCGGCGGTAGCTGCTGCTGCGGGTGCGGCTGCCACCGGTGGGCTCGATGGCCTTGACGTAGCTCGAGGGGAAGTAGCCTATCTTCTTGCCCATGCGCCCCTTCCACCAGGACTCGCTGGCCTTCTTCACCACCTCCACCTCATCCCCTGTTGGTTGTGACGAACGTAAGTGGCCATCAAGACTACTGATGAAGAGCACAGGTGGGTGTGGACCTTTCTTGAGGGACAGCTTGGAGGTGTCATCCGTTTTGAAATCGTACAGACAGACCACCATCAGCGGCGCCGTCTCGGCTTCCACATGAGCAACCTGCTAACAAACATTGCAGTGTTCGATGTCATCATGTGACGTGCTGTTCGTCGTAGCTCACATAAGAGAAGGGGTACCTGTGGCTTCGCCATTGTGCCAGCAACAGCAGCAGAGTGGGCAGCAGCTGCGGAGGGAGGGTTGCTGGCGGCGGAGGCAGGGGTTGTGTTCATCTCCACCAGCCTGACGTAGTTGGAAGGGAAGAGGCCAACTTGTCCGTTTAGCTCGCCCTCCCACCACCCCTCCTCCTGAAGTTTCTGCAGCACCTGCTCTCCCCGACGACACCACACAACCTGGTCAACTCAACTCGAGCTGCAAGAAGAAGAAGAGATAGAGAGTACATTGATAGTGTCTCCTCTCTTGAAGCTGATCTTCTTGTCGTTGTCGCCCGTGAAGTCGAACAGGGCGACCACTTTGCCGCAAGCCAGGATGTCCGCCGTGTAGCCGCGTCGCCTATAGGCCGCCGACACAGTGGTGCGGGGGCTGGTCGCAGGGGCTGAAGCACTCGACGATGTAGATGCCGCCCCCGCCGCCATGGTGGTTGAGATTGGTGGCACCCCGCGTGTTCCTTTGGACCACGTCGCATGTGCTGGAGGGGCACGTTGCGCGGAGGGGGGCGAGCTTTGATTGCCTCGCGAGGCGGTGGTCGACACCTCGCCTCCGCTGACGCTCCCGCTCCACGACGTCCCGCCTCCTCCACCACTTCCCCCAAGCTTCGAGGTGGTAGCCTCTCCTACGACGGGTACCTCTTGAACGAAGCTCCCAGGGAAGAGGCCACGCTTGCCCTCGACCTCGCCCACCCACCACCCGCTCTCCTGGCGCTGGAAGACCGAGATGCGCTGGCCCTTCTTAAAGCTGAGCTCCCGGTCGGAGCGCCCCGCGTAGTCGTAGTTGGCCACGGCCTGTGCCACCTCGCGGTGGGCGGTCGTCGCCATCTCGATCTCTCGTTGCACTGCCCTTGGTGCCAGTTCGAGAGCCAGGTGCGTCTCCCTTTTTTGGCCTTGCCCAAAGTTGAATTCAAAACGACTTTGAAAACGTTTCGAAACTGTTTCGAGGAGCAAGGCAAAGGGTACGAACGCTTACGCTGGTGCTGCGTAGGAAGCATAGCAAGACAAGAAGGCAAGGTGAGTGCATCTTTGCCAGAGTGAGAAAAAACGCACCACAACTACCATTAGATTTGCGCCTTGCAAGAGTCAGGGAGGAATGCATCGAAATAGCCGGCTTGCCTTCTCCGCAACCCGCGGTGCTTCAGCAGGTGCTCGTTCGCGTGTCGGCACATCTCAGCGCCTGCGCACGCCAGCCGTCCTGTACCACCACAGCGGCCGATTCTACGCCACCACCGCACGAGGTAGCGCCTTCTCTCCGCTGCAGATTTCTCTCGTACTAATCTCATAAACCTTTTATTTATTGATTGATTGGCCAGGAAGCTGCAACACCCACTGGCGGTGTGGGGGAGCAGCTGTAGCTGGCGCAGGAGCGCTCATGCTTTATATGGCCGTCAACAGCAAGTCGGTTGTGCATGCAGAGGAACACCTACCACAAGCCACCACCAGCGCTTCCCACTCGCCAAGAGCCGAGACCGACAAGCCCCTGGCGAGTGGCGGCAACGTGTGGGTGTGGGGCGCAGATGGCGGGACCGTGCCCTCTGCCGGGTCTTCCCCGGCCGATTCACTGGTGCCGCGGCTGGCCGCGAAGCTCAGCGGAAAGGGCATCAAGGGCCTGGCTTTCGGCGACAAGGCTGCAGCCGCCGTGACGAACAAGGTACTCACCCCCAACGCGAGCTATCGTTGAAGTCCGACTCTTACCTACCATGACACGCAGGGCGAGCTGTACTTGTGGCGAGTCGGCGAAGAGGAACCGACGCTGACCGAGCACAAAGGCGTACAGCAGGTGGCCTGCGGAAGGTGAGCCCATTTCACTGTGATCGTGCTCGCTTCATTGCACGTGGCTTACGCATTTCGCAGGAATGGACTGATCGCGGCGCTCACGGACAAAGGCGACGTCTTGCTGTGGGACGCGCGCACGCATGCCGAAGGCGGGCTGCATCCACCCGCCTCGTCTAAAGAGGCCGGTGACGCAGATTGGAAAAACGTCAAGCGTATAGACATAGCTTCACTATCACTTCCGCCAGCGTCAGCTACTGCGACACCTGCTGCGTCGGCTTCGTCATGGTGGTGGCCATTCGGTGGATCAGGTTCGAAAGCCGGCGCGGAAACGATCACGCAGGTCGACTGTGGCAGCGGACACGTGGCGATGGTGACCTCGCGCGGCAGAGTGCTCGTGCTCGGCGATAACAACTACGGCCAGGTACGGGACTCTACTCTAGAGCGTTGGGTCGTACATTACATGCGCCTGTAAGGCGCAGCTTTCTCATATCTGGGACAACTACTGGCTGACAGTGTGGCACGCAAGACGCATCAAACGAAACCCGAGGACCAGGCATGGTACGACCTTCGCCTGTGGTGGTCGACCTCGGGATTGCTGGCGGGGGCCACAAAGCTGTGGGCGTCTCCTGCGGTGACACCCATACAGGTACCATTGCGCTGGTCTCGCTGAATCAATACATAGAACACAAAACTGACCTCGGCGTTCGTTTGTCCGTGGCAGCCATACTGCTGGACGATGGTGCCGTGTTCATGCTGGGCAGCGTGCATCTCAGTGGACTCAAGGGGAGCACACTGTACACCGACTCGCCTGTGCTCGTACCGCTGACGCGTGACTCCAAGTCCGTGGAAAAGCTGGGGCGGATTATCAAGCTGAGCTGCGGTGGAGAGCACACGCTAGCCCTCACCAACTACGGTGTCCTTTTGGCCTGGGGTAACGGTGCGTACTTCATCATACACTGCACGTCGCACACGCCGCCCCCCGCGGCTGACGTATGCAATCGGCAGGGATGTATGGCCAAGTGCCCGACAACCAGGGCAAGCACATCAACACGGCTCACCCTGTGCTCAGGGCGCCATTCTTCAACGCCGAAGGCAAGGAATTCATCAACAACGAGGTGAAGGAGCTCCAATGCGGCAACGAGCATTGCCTCGCCCTCACCAAGGGAGGCGACGTGTGGTCCTTCGGCCGAAACGACCGGGTACTCCCGCCAATGCCCTCCTGGATGAATGAGCAGGCCTTCACTGACCTTTCATTCACTTCCTTCTTTCTCGCACCATCAGGGACAGTGCGGCGTCGGCAACCGCGCGCATCAGAAGACACCGCACAAGGTGACCAAACTGCAGTCGCGCAAGGACAAGATCTCCGCCATCGCCTGCGGCCAGCACACCTCGGCTGCCATCGAAGAGTGAGCGCAGAAATATGAAATATAAATTTCAAGGAAAAAATTGGAAATATAAAAGATTGAGATGAGAAAAAGCAGATTAAAAGAATAATTGGCCAAGAAGCATCGCCAAAGGAATCTGGTCCATGCTGCCTCTGGGGAGCTAGAGACGTTGCCTCCGAAACAAGATATGGACAAAGCGCAATACACCGCTTGCCCAGACCTCCGACATTCACCACGCAATTCCCCCCTCCGTTCGACCTTGTACGACTCCCATTTGGTGCCATCTTTATTGCCTTTTCCATTCATTAATTCCATTTGGATGCAGCTCGACGCTGTCGGCATCCAACAGTTCACCCACGCGTGGGGTACGACATCCACCTTGATTTATTCACATATATTAATTTACAAAAACAATCCTTGCGTGGTGGTGCACAACCAACAGAGCCCCCAGCGGAGAACAAACCGCAACGACGACAGCCCTCATGGTATCTGTTTGCTGGACACTCAGCCGGGGACTCCTCAGCCGCCGCAGCCACTCGGTACGCACACGGGTCTCCACCGCTTTGCTCGCACTCGTCTAACGTAACGACGACACCCCCCACATGCAACAGCACAAGAGACCACCAAATCGTTCAGACTAGGACCCAGACTGGGGTTGCTTCAGAGCCCCAACAAGAAGTCGTCCGGTACGAGCTTGCCACACAAGTGTGCGTGGCTGTGCTGCTCCTTCCAGGTCCCTCTTCTAATACTCGATCCTCGTGCCCATGTACCTTGACGCAGGCACTCAGCGCACGAAGACATTCAGCAAGCGTCGCGAGTTACTCTTTGAGCCCGTCCCCGATGCTTGGAATGGAGGCGGGTCGCGGGCGACGAAGGCCTCGGCACGAGAAGAGCAGAACCCCGACCATAAGACAATACCGGCAGCGATGGCGGTCGAGGCGATAACAAACAAGACGAGAGCTGAGGCGCACATGGAGGAAAAGGACGAAGAGGCACGAAGAAAGGAGGAAGAAGATGAAAATGACGGAAGAGACACACCGCACCACTACCGCCAAGTCGATGGCGACGACGGCGGAGGACAACGAAATTATCCACAACTACTGGAGCGAACTCAACGATCAGCGGGGAGGCGGTGGAGGATCATACGGAATGGGGAGAGCGCATTTCCAATGAGAAGATGCCAGCGAGGAAGAGCCAGGCGAACCAGAGCGAGAAGGTGAGGGAGGCCCAAGAGAAGACCAAGAAGCTGATGGCCGACAACGACTTGCAAGATGCATTTACTGGAGGTACGACGATTCACTCTCACTGTAGCGCGCGCGCACGCACGCAATCGGGCTCACGTAGGCGTGCCAATCGTGGATGTCAGCGATCACAACCAGGCTGGTCACCGGTGCGAGGGCCAAGGCTAGGAGCCGGTACGATGTACAGGAGAAGCAGGAGGGTGAGCAGAAGAGAACATTCTCGCCCGCCGATCCACCAAAGGTCTCCCGCCCCAGGACCAGACAAAAGCCCGAACCCAAGCCCAAGCCCAAGCCCAAGCCCGTGGTGATTACTATCGACGATGATGGTATTCCTCTCTTTTCTGCAATGGCCGTTGCTTTCACGCGCATGAGCTCTGATCTGAACACCCTATCGTGGTGTATGTGGTGTGTGTGTCGCAATGTGTAGACAGCATGAGCCAGGACTCCTTTGCCGAAGCCTCCAGTGCCGCCCCGCCAAGAAAGCGTGCGCGGGGTGATACGCCGAGCTACTACTCGCCGCGCGTCGTGTTTGGTCGTATGGACTACGCCGACGTGCAGTGGGAGATCCGCTGGGAGCAGGCTGAGCTGGCCATTCGTACGGTGAAGCAGCTCACCGCCGACGACGACGGCGACCCCTATGCTTTTGACGACGGCGACGGCGACTACGCACCCGATGAACCGAAACAACGAAACGCAAAACGAAAAGAGTGTCAGCCTCTCGCGCGGGCAGCGCCAAAAGCCACCGAGGACAGAGAGTTCCATATCCCCTACACCGACCTAGCCCGTGTTGCGGTACCGTCAACATTCATCTCTCTCTCCCTTTCGCTGGCTCTCCGAGATCTCGCTCACGCTCGGTGCCAGGAGTTGACGTCGACTGGGCTGGTTGCCGTGAGGACACGGACAATTCTGAGTCAAATCGATTCCTACTACTACGACCCACAAAACAGAGGTATATAGCATCCACGGCCGCACAACGTAGACACTTGTTAGATGCCTGTGGTGTTTGATAGCTTACAATGCGGCGACTGTCCATCAGATGGTAGTCGGCACTACATCCACATCTACTGCTCCAACGGGAACGAATGGCGAGAGGAGTGGCACAAGGTGAAGACAATTCTCGCGGAAGCCAGCATCAAAACGGCATCCATCACGTACGTCCGCCCTCAAGACTTAGCGCTTATTAGCTAACTGGTGTCCCAAACTGCTAACGCTGGTCTACGCAGCGAGGCCACTTATGCGGAATTCAACATCGGAGCCTTGGATCGACAGACGGTTCCGTCATCAATCGCCTCCATTAAACGCTATACCACACGCTCCATGTCACGCAAGCCCACCACGACTCGGTTCGTCACCTTCCAGTCTCCGCCACTTGACTACTATGCTGACACTCACTCTTCCTGCAGCCGATTCATATCGACAAAGAAGATCATCACCTACCCGCCAGGTCGCTCAAGGTACACACACGACACACGACACGACCAACGACAACACACGACACACACGACACACACGACACACACACACAGTACTAAACTTACGTGAATTGTGTGTTTGCAGAGATGTGGTCACTCTCACGCAGGCGGACGTCGAGCGACTTGAGCCCGAACAGCTGCTGAACGACAACATCATCGAGTTCTACCTCAAGTACCTCTACGAGGAGGCCCTCTTCCCCGACAACGCGCCGCAGAGGGATCAGTTCTACTTCTTCAACACCTTCTTCTGGCCCAAGCTGCAGTCCCTTAAGAGCGAGGACCAAATGAAGAATCTCCTCTCGTGGACCCGCAACGTCGACATATTTAAGAAGCGATTCCTCTTCGTGCCCATCAACGACGGGTACACGCCCGCTATACACGGCACACGGTGCACACGGCACACGGCGCACACACCCATGTATTGTGGCTAATGCTTTATCGAACCCAAGGTTCCACTGGAACGTGGTGGCGATCTGCAATCCGGGCTCCATCGTACACGCGCAAACGCCCGGGGCGATGGACAAGCTGCCAAAGGAGGAGTGGCCAGTCATGGTCCACATGTGCTCGCTCCACTCGACGGCCGGCCACGTGTTCAACAAGCTGCGAGCGTACGTTTGTTGTCCTCAGCTCATTTCTTTTGTCTCTTTGAGACGAGACGATCCAAAGGCTTGTGGCTCACATATGTTTGGTATGTATGAATTCGGGTGATTATAGCTATCTTGGCGTGGCGTGGAATGCGGACGATAGCAGGCCCAGTATCAAAGTCACCAAGGACTCGCTGTTGGGTTTCATCCCCAATGTACGACTGCTACTACTACTTGCCTCCCTCCTTTTCCCTTTGGTTTCTCTCTCGAATGGCTCACTAACGTCAGCACAATCGATTCTGTCGGGTGTTTGGCTGCACAGCTGCCGGAGCAACAGAACGGCTCGGATTGTGGCGTGTTTCTGCTCCAATACGTGGAGGGCTTCTGCAGGAACCCGCCCACTCTCTACACCAAGGAGGACCTGAAGGTTACGGTACTGTGGCCTCTGCCTCGTTGTGTAGTGTCATGTGAAGTGTGTGTGTCGTGTGTGTCGTGTGTGTTCGCCTGATGCTAATTGTGTGGTGGTCACTGGTCTTAATTGTACAGCTCAACCGCAGCTGGTTCGACAACGAGACGATTACCCAAAAGCGAAGGGAGATCAAGGATCTCATTGCTCGCATCGCCTGCGAGCAGGAACCCGTGACCGACGAGCCCGAGCAGGCCGAGGGACCCAAGGACGAGGCTGAAGCGGCTGCTGCCACTACCACCACCACTCAGTCGTCGGCCGGTGATGCTTCGGTCAAGTCAGGCTCCAGCGATGAAGGAGAGGCTCCGCCATCATGCGGCGGCGAGGTGGAAGTGTACGTCGTCGGCGAAGAGACAAACAAGAACGAAACGAGAATGGACTCAAAGAATGAAGACGAGGACGGCGACGACGACAACACGCAGCTGCCCATCGAGCGCGGCGGCGTTGAAGCACACACCGGTGTGATGGAGGTCGAAGAAGCAGAAGAGAGGGAGGAGGCCGCGAGGGACGACTCCAGCCTGGGCAGCGACCTCACCCCGCCTTCGCCGCTGAGTCTGAACTCGGCCCCGGTCAGCAGCGACGACGAAATGCTGAAGGAGCTGGTGGCACAGGAGGCCGACGATCGCATGCCCACCTCGGGCGCCGCCAGACGACCTAGCCCAGGGCTTTCGCCGCCGCGCTCGACCACCACTCGAGAGGTTGCGATGGCAGACCTCGACGAGGGCGAGGGCGAGGGCAGCGGGGAGACGCCGGGCATGGAGCTCAAGGTGGCGCGATGGACCGAGAAGAGGAAGCGGAAGGGCGAAGAACGACGCCGAGAAACGAAAAAGGTAAAGAAAGCGACGGCGGGCCGGGGCGGCGACGGAGAGCGTGACCAGTCCTGCGCAGTACTCTTGGTACCGAGTTCGCCACAGTCCCGGGCGGAGGACGATGACGAGAACGAGGCGGAGGAGGAGGAGCGAGGGAGCAAGAAGGCCGTAGGCTACGAGGGTGATTCAGATATCGACATCTGGGTCCTGTCGCCACGGCTTCAGCCGGATTTCGATCCCGTCTTCGAAGCCAACGCCAGCAAGCAGCGAGACCGAGAGCGTGACGACAACGACGAAGAAGAGGAGGGCGAAGGCAAGACGACGAAGAAGAGGTGGGCCAAACGACGGAAGCGAGAGGAGAACGGCAGCAGTGGAATGGAGGATGAGGCTGAGGAAGCGGTGATCACGGCGGTCGTGCCCGCATCGTCGTCATCGACCAGCGTGCGAGCGTCAACGGTCGACACGTCGGCGGCCCGACCATCAGGGCGGACCGTGCTACCGGTCGCAGCGTCGCCGCCGGCGTCGCCGCACCGACAGAAGGTCCCAATCGGCGACGGAGGACAGACCGTTGTCGTCGACATCGGCGAAGAAGAAAAAGAAGAAGGCGAACAGAGAAAAGCGAAGGAGGAGAAGGAGAAGCGGGCAGCGCAGTCGAGAAGTCGCGGCGCGACAGGCACCAAGGGCGAAAGCTGGTGGTCTATCGTCCGCGGAAGCTTGTCGGGCCTGCGGTCAGCCTGGCCCACAACGACTCCGGGCGCAGCAGTAGGACCCGCCGGCGAGTCGATGCACGGACAGCAACTCATTTTGGCGCCACTACCACCACCAGGCCAAGACGAAGACCCTCTGCTGAATAGAAGAGACGAGGAGGGGCAGACCATGGCAACACCGACGCCAACGCCAACGACGACGCCGACGCCAACGAGCACCTCGACGGAGACGACGATGACGAGTTCGGCCGAGAATGATATCAGTAGCTCCGGCTCGGGCAAACGAAAGCGGCTACGAAAGCGACGAAGAAAAGGAAAACACGGCAGCCAAGCCGACGACAGTCTCAGCTCAGAGGCCAGCCTGCCCTTTGACGGCGAAGGCGGCGAAGGCGGATCACCAGTGTTCCACGTGGTCTACGACGCTGTGGCGGTGGCCGACCGCGAGGCCGCGCACGGGCGGTGGGACACCACCGCAGCGGGCCTGCCCGCCGAGGTCAAAGAGGAGGCGAACGACGGGGAGGAGAACGAGCAGGCGAGCGAAGAGATGATGAGGAACGCGGTTGAAGAAGAAGATGGAGGAGGAGGAAAAGAAGAGGAAGAAGCCAACGACGACGACTCGGGCACGATCAGCGATCCGCATCCGGGGCGATTGCGCCACGCCAATGGGCCGCGGTGCGTGGCGGGACGAACGAAGACGAAGGAGGGCCTGGCGATGAAGAAGGTCACAAAGAAGGGCAAGGGCACGCCCAAGCCCGCCATCAGAACGCTGGGTCCGTAATGTGTAAGATCCCCCCCCCCAAGGCCAAGCCTGCCCAAGAGGGAGTGGTAAAATGTAATCTCTCATCACCGCCATCATCTTGTTGGTGGTGCGCACCACCCAGAGCCTCGTTGACCTCTTGCAGAGCAACGCTGAGGCAATTTCAATTTCTCTTCACTCTCAGTCAGCCAACACCACAAGACTTGTGTAGCAGTGCACATAGCTCTGGCCTCCAACCTGAAGAACAAATTTGAGGAGCTGGCCAAGGTAGCTCTTCTTGTTGATGGTTCTCTTCTTTAACGATCTGGTGTTGATTGATGGTTTTGTGGGGGGGGGGATGTAGCCACCGCCTGAGCCCGAGAGGAAGAAGACGGGCGGCAAGGTGGGCTGGAACGACCCGGCGGCGCAGGGCCAGAAGAAGGTCCACAAGGGCGGCCACACCGTCATCGGCAACGGCCCCCCGCCCAAGAAGAGCCTCACCGACCTGCCCTGACCGTCGCGACAGCCCCCGTGTAAATTGAATGATTTATTATTTATTTTCCGCTAACGCCACTGGCTCCCCAATGGGCGAGTACATAACTGATAAATAAATATAATTGGCCATAATTAGCAGCAACAGCTGCTGCGCCTGTGATCACGCTGACCAACCGTTCAGCCACAACTCAGCTTTACAAAAGATCAAACAAAGGAGACGAGTGGAGGATGAGCCAGCAGAGGGAGTGGCGCGCCAAGTTGTCGCCTCCTTCTGACATAACGCCGGCAGCACTGCACGCCTCTGCTACCGCCCCCGGCCTTGAGCCTCCCGCCACGTAAACCTGCAAGCCCAATAATATTTTATATTCTTTGTTTTATTTTATGTTTAGTTATTTATTTGTACCGGAAAGCGAGCGGAGCAGTTTCGTTGCCAGCCCTGAGTTCTTGACCGATACACCACTCACGGAGCGCGCACGGCCAACTGACTTCACTCCTTTCATCACTTCGCCAACAATACTCAGACCGGAGGCTGGCGGCACACCTCTGTCTGTAAGTCCGGAGAGGCTGACCACAACCAGTCCACGCCCTTTTCGCAAGTACGACCCCAAACTCGCTCTCTTTACTGACCCCCCCCCTCTTTCATCTTTTAATTTTATAAACTTAACTTTTAATTTTATGAGTATTATCCCAAATAATCGCAATTTCCGTTTTGTGAGCTTTTGCGTTGTCATGACACGAGCTCACCACCGCACCGCACCGCACCGCACACGCCACACATCGCACACGCACGGTGGTGCTGGTGATCCCTTCATGATAGGAAAGGGCGCCCGGGGACGCTGCACCTGGCCTTGCCCAAGGGATTCAGCGCCGAACTTGGCGAGCAGGCTTGGGTCATCCAAGAGCCCTCGACCGCGACACCGCCCAACGACAACGACACCGGCAACGGCCCAGAGGCCGCCGCCATGAACCGCAGCGAGCCGGGTCTGGTGCGCAAGGAGCCGCTGCGCCGGTCCAAGGACGACGGCTCGGCGAAGACCGGCGGCGGCGCGACTCCGCTCAACAGGTCCGACCCGTTGTCGACAGAGCGCGACGAGCGGAAGCGCAGCAAGCGGGCGTCGAGGGAGAAGAAGGCGGCCGAGCGAATGATGGAGTGGCGGGCCGCCACGAAGGACAAGTGGACGTCGAGCGACGAGTCGCCGCCGCTGTCGCCGCGGGGAGCCGGCGGCGGGCTGGGCTTCAGCGCCGCGCCCACTGGGATCTACAATGGCTTCGTGCTGCCGCACGGCAAGGTACGCACAACACATAACACATACATGTGATGCATCGCCACCCTCCACGTTCTTTCTCTTTCTTTCGTTTTCTCTTTCTCTTTCTCTCTTTCCTTCAAATGGCAACGCATATCCTAATCGGGGTGCGCCGAGCAACGATGACCAGCGGAGATTGTGTCATTCTTTTGTTTGTTTTTAGCGTTTGTTTATTCAACACTTTTCATATATCACTTTGGCTTGGCTCGCTGCCGCCACACACACATATATTTTCTTTATCATTTTTCTTTTTTACATAATATCTGTGACCTTATATATGTTCGATATTGGAGGAAGTGCTGGCAATAGCAGCGCCAAGAAACAGCGCGGTGGTGGTGACCTGGTCCTGGCCAAGTACCGGGGGTGGTCCAGCTTCCACCAGGCCTCACAGACCCTGGAGGACTCTCCCTGCCTCCTTCGGGCGGCGACACTCCACGCTATCCCAGTTTAGGCTCTTCCTTTCTTTTTCATCATTCCATTTATTTGTCTATTATTCTTTTTATTGTATTTTATTCATCAGTATACGTATTATCAATTGAATATTTTATTTATCAGTAAATATTATCAATTGTTGTGCCAGCAACATGGCAAGGAGGCCGACGGGTCTGCATCGACTCAACAGACCGAGCTGCTGCCTGGCGAGAGCCTGGTCGTGGTGCACGAGGGCGTGGTGGTGGGCCTCAACCAGGTACGCATACTTTTATTATTTATTATTTGTTAATTGTTCATTATTGTTTATTATTTACTCACATTGCGGTGATCGATTCAGGCGCGCGTCGGGCAACTGGGCAACCTCCACATCACCAACTTCCGCCTCTCCTTCTACAGCAAGGTACGCGCACTATGCCCTCTTAACGCTTTGCCGTCTTGTCTGCCGCACATCAGCTTATCGCATGGACGTTGCAGGAAGCTGGTCGCATCATGGACCTCCCGCTGGCGCTCATTCTCAACCAGAAAGTCGAGACAAAGGGGCGAATCGAGGTGCACCGTCTTGCTCCTCGCACTCGCACTCATTTTTCTAACTTTGTGTGAGACATGTAGGGCGGGTTGCTGTATCTGCTCTGCAAGGACTTGCGCACCGTGTACATCACCTTCACGACAACCGAAGGCCTCACACAGGTTCCGTTCGCACGCACCACCGCACGCGCGCGTACCACGCACACGCACACACACACACACCACACACCACACACACACACACACACACACACACACGTACACACGCACACACAGCCTCTCTATAATACGGTCGACTTCTCACCAAGATGCAACACCCAATATCCAACACTATAGACAAAGAAGTGGATCAAGCAAAACATATTCCCACCGAAGGTCACGTCATTGTTTGCCTTCAAGAGCGGCGAGCAACCGGCACCGGCCTTGGGCGTCTACGATCTCCACAACGTGAGCTGCTCTTGCCCACCATCAGGCCAAACACCTGGTCTAGCTTGATCGACTGACGCTCTGATTTTTATACACCAGGAGTTCATGAGGCAGGGAGCCTTGCACTCGGACTGGCGTATCACCAGCATCAACAAGGTGCGTGTCATTGCCCAATTCACCCGAAGTCGTCGCGCCCATGCCACCACTCAACCTCTCTTTCTTTCCCTTCAATTGGCAGAACTACAAGCTCTGCGTCAGCTACCCCAAGATGTTCGTGGTGCCGAGCTCGATCAAGGACGATGACCTCATCAACACCGCGCCCCTGCACCACAAGGGTATCTCTTGTCAAGTTGAAGTTTCGATATTTTCTTTCGGCATTGACTCGTGTCGTGGCCGCGGCGTAGGACGTACTATTGCGCTGTGCTGGCATCATCCGTCGTCCAAGGCGGCGCTCCTTCGTCGCAGCTATGATCCCCAGTCGCCCGATTCACAACACGAGGTCTGCTTTATCGCTTTATCGCTTTGTTTCTCTCTTTTCTTTGTTTCTCTTCTTTCTTTCCTGCTTGAGTTTGTTCTCAGCTTCTCACCCATACTCCTGCAGGACCCCATTTTGGAGCACCTGTGGCGATTGAATCCCGGCACAGCCACTCGAAAGAATCGAGGTAACGTCACAGACCATACAGCGATGTGTGGCGACACTTCACTCACACGATCACACGATCACACGATCACACACACACACACACACACACACACACACACACACACACACACACACACACACGACACACGCGATATGCACACAATCAGGCGGAAAGAAGCCCGAGTCAGGAGTGTGGGTGATGAACTGCGACCGACGCAAGAAGAACCCGCTGTCCAATTCGCTGTCGACAACCGGCAACCAGGTGATCACCATACAGAAGGTGACGCTGGCCGGCCTGCGGCGTATCACCCCGCCGCTGTCCTCCTCCATAGGCGGCACCCGCAAGGCCACCCTGTCGCCTCCCACGACCGACCGGGCCGGCGCCGGCGGCAGTGGCGGCGATGACGACGAGGCCACCTTCATTCAGCACTTCGCCGACATTCCCGACCGCGAGCACGTCAAGGCCAGCCTCGTGAAGCTGCGCGAGGTGCTGTATACGACCAAGAGCGGCTACGCCCTGCTGGACTACGACGACGGCGGCGCCAAGGAGGCGACGGCGGGCAACGCCGGCGGCGGCGGCGCGCAGGGGGATGGGTCGACCAGGTCGGACGGGCTCATGAGCTCCTCCAGCTCCACCATCTCCCTCGCGTCCGTCGACAATGATAGTACGGACCTAGCTAAGCTTCGCTCTGCTGGCTTAGTGCTCAATCTCTCGTGTGTCGTGTCGTGTGTGTACTGCAGCTGCACAGAAGCGGGGACCTGTGCGAATCGAAAAGAAGGTGAACTGGGTCTACCAGATCAGCAAAACGCTCGAGATGGTGGAGAAGGTGGTCAACATCCTCGAGAAAGGTGCGCCGGCCGGCCCTCGAGTCCCTTCTCTCCGCACGCGCGCACGCACGCAAGCACGCAGCTAATGATGGGGGTGCAGGTGAGTCGGTAGTGGTGCAAAACTTTAACGGCCGCGACGCGGTGTCGACGATCGTGTCACTGGTCCAAATCTGCGTGGATCCCTACTACCGGACCATGCACGGCTTCGCCGCCCTCATCGAAAAGGAGTGGATCGCCTTCGGTGCGTAGAGGCGCACACATCGTGCACATAAAGTGCACACAACGCGCACACATCGTGCACACAACGCGCACACATCGTGCACAGCGCACACATAACGCTGATGGTGTTTGTGCGCAGGTCACAAGTTCGGACAGAACAGAACCAAGAAGCACGCCGACGAGTCGCTGTCCGGCGTGTTCTTGATGTTCCTGGACTGCGTGTTTCAGCTGTGGGACTACTCGCCGCACCAGTTCCAATTCAACGACTCCTTCCTCCTCTTCCTCATCGACTCAGTCTACAACGGTACACACGACACGACACACGACACACGACGACACACGCATGGCACACATACGACACACGCATCACCGCACACGCACTCATCGCATTATTTGTGCGCAGGTCGCTTCACGACGTTTCTGAGCGATTCGGAGAAGCTGAGAGCGTCGCTGGTGGCCGAGAAGACCGCCAGCATTTGGGCCTTCGCCACCGAGAACGAGGAACTCTTCTCCAATTTTCTCTACTCGCCGCCGCCTGCCAACGCGCCCGGCGGCCTGGCCCCCGCCACGGTCGTGTCGGCCGCCGCCTTCAAACCGCTTAGCAAGCAGTCGTCGTTCCTCGTCACCACCTCGCTGGGCTCG